CCAGCGGATGCTGAGCTACACTAGAAAACAAATTTGGAAAAAATTTAGAAAAATTAAATTTGCGAGATAATCGTTCCGGAATACCGCCAATAAAATAGGGAAAAAGTTTCGAACAAAAAATGTATGGCGCACTTTTTGATTGGTCCAGCGGATGCTGAGCTACACTCAAAAATAATTTGGAAAAATTTTCAAAAAATTAAATTCGCTAGATAATCGTTCGGGAATACCGCTATAATGATTAGAAGAAAGTTCTGAACAAAAAATGTATGGCGCACTTTTTGATTGGTCCAGCGGATGCTGAGCTACACTAAAAAACATTTTGGAAAAATTGTTGAAAAATTAAATTTTCCAGATAATCGTTCGGGAATACCGCCAAAGTCTTTAGCAAAAAGTAGCGAACAAAAAATGTATGGCGCACTTTTTGATTGGTCCAGCGGATGCTGAGCTACACTAGAAAACAAATTTGGAAAAAATTTAGAAAAATTAAATTTGCGAGATAATCGTTCCGGAATACCGCCAATAAAATATGGAAAAAGTTTCGAACAAAAAATGTATGGCGCACTTTTTGATTGGTCCAGCGGATGCTGAGCTACACTAGAAAACAAATTTGGAAAAAATTTAGAAAAATTAAATTTGCGAGATAATCGTTCCGGAATACCGCCAATAAAATAGGGAAAAAGTTTCGAACAAAAAATGTATGGCGCACTTTTTGATTGGTCCAGCAGATGCTGAGCTACACTCAAAAATAATTTGGAAAAATTTTCAAAAAATTAAATTCGCTAGATAATCGTTCAAGAATACCGCCATAATGATTAGAAGAAAGTTCTGAACAAAAAATGTATGGCGCACTTTTTGATTGGTCCAGCGGATGCTGAGCTACACTAAAAAACATTTTGGAAAAATTGTTGAAAAATTAAATTTTCCAGATAATCGTTCGGGAATACCGCCAAAGTCTTTAGCAAAAAGTAGCGAACAAAAAATGTATGGCGCACTTTTTGATTGGTCCAGCGGATGCTGAGCTACACTAGAAAACAAATTTGGAAAAAATTTAGAAAAATTAAATTTGCGAGATAATCGTTCCGGAATACCGCCAATAAAATAGGGAAAAAGTTTCGAACAAAAAATGTATGGCGCACTTTTTGATTGGTCCAGCGGATGCTGAGCTACACTCAAAAATAATTTGGAAAAATTTTCAAAAAATTAAATTCGCTAGATAATCGTTCGGGAATACCGCCATAATGATTAGAAGAAAGTTTCGAACAAAAAATGTATGGCGCACTTTTTGATTGGTCCAGCGGATGCTGAGCTACACTCAAAAATAATTTGGAAAAATTTTCAAAAAATTAAATTCGCTAGATAATCGTTCGGGAATATCGCCATAATGATTAGAAGAAAGTTCTGAACAAAAAATATATGGCGCACTTTTTGATTGGTCCAGCGGATGCTGAGCTACACTAGAAAATAAATTTGGAAAAAATTTAGAAAAATTAAATTTTCCAGATAATCGTTCGGGAATACCGCCAAAGTCTTTAGCAAAAAGTAGCGAACAAAAAATGTATGGCGCACTTTTTGATTGGTCCAGCGGATGCTGAGCTACACTAGAAAACAAATTTGGAAAAAATTTAGAAAAATTAAATTTGCGAGATAATCGTTCCGGAATACCGCCAATAAAATAGGGAAAAAGTTTCGAACAAAAAATGTATGGCGCACATTTTGATTGGTCCAGCGGATGCTGAGCTACACTCAAAAATAATTTGGAAAAATTTTCAAAAAATTAAATTCGCTAGATAATCGTTCGGGAATACCGCCATAATGATTAGAAGAAAGTTCTGAACAAAAAATGTATGGCGCACTTTTTGATTGGTCCAGCGGATGCTGAGCTACACTAAAAAACATTTTGGAAAAATGGTTGAAAAATTAAATTTTCGAGATAATCGTTCGGGAATACCGCCAAAGTCTTTAGCAAAAAGTTTCGAACAAAAAATGTATGGCGCACTTTTAGATTGGTTCAGCGGATGTTGATCTAGGTCAATATAAATTTTGGGATTTTTTAAATTTGCTAAATAATCGCTCGGCAATATAGATTTTTTGTTAATAAAAATTAAGATTTAAACTCCACCTCTCTATTAATAAATATTTTTATTCGTGTTTTTCAAATATGAAAAAAGAAGGAAAATTACATTTTTTAAATTGAGTATATTTTGTCGTATGCCTTAAATAAAGAATGGATATTATTGAAAAAAAGTTTTTCAAAAAATTATTGGTTGAAAAGATTATTTTTTTGTGGTTTGAAACTTTTTCTGATATAAAAAATGATTTCGGTTTAAAATTTTGGAAAAATGATTTTGTTTGGTACAAGAATTCTTGCTGTTCGTCTTATTTACTTTAACTTAACGCCAAAATAATAGAAATAAAGCAATAAATAGTAAAATAATGTATTTAATCGTAGTTTATTGAGTGGCCACTTGCTCGGATTGGCGCTGTTTATTGGAGCACTAACACTGTCAAGTAACGTCTGTGTATGCGCCGCTATCTTTGTTTTCATTTTCCTTTAAAAATGTTACTTTTTAAACATAATTTTTTAAAAATTTGGCTCAAAATTGTGTATTTTTCGGAGAACAGCGAGATTTCTTGTACCCTAATCTATCGTCCCACAAAATTGTAGACAAAAATCTTTTTTCATTTTTGAGTGAAATGTATACTACTGTAATAGATTGAAATTTATAAAAACATTAAATTTTTATAATTATTTAACAATAATAATCATAAAAAAATAAATCTTATTGTTTTAATCATTTAACTATATATTTCATCATTTTTTATATATTTAAGACAAAATTTCAATTTCGTGGAGCATTTGCATCATATAATGCGTCAGGGTTGAACTAATTCATAATTTTCAAAAATTTTATTAACAGTAGTTATTTTTATTTCTAAATATTTAATTAAATTAATTTTGTTAATAATAATATTTATTAATATCACTTAAACTACAAAAATTAATAATCAACTTACATTGAACTGCGACTCAGCAATGCAAGATCTCCTCCAGGAGCAGCTCCGCAACAAACACCCATCCTTATTGAACACCTGTAAATTGAGAAAAAAAAATAATTAAACTTTCTCTTAACGTCAGTTTTTTTTGCAAATTTTAATTAATTAACAATCTTTGTGTTATTAATTAAAAATAAATTTGATTAATAATAATTAATGTATGTAAAAAAATAATTTTCAGTATAAAAAGAGACTCACTTATTCGAAGATTTAGTAGAAGTTGTCATTTGTCATCTTATTTATGTCATCAAATTCTTCTCCAAGTCTGAATTCTGTAAAGACAAACAAAAATTGTCAAAATGAAAATTCAGAAACCTTTATTTTATAAAAACAGATATTAAATAATTTTATCAAATTAGAAAAGAAGTTTCAATTACTAATAGATAAATAAATAATAAATAAATATTTACCTGAGCTGAGAAGAATTGACGCCGAAAGGTTTAATATTTTTGGCCTTTTTTCTAAGATGACATTTTTTAACCCTGTAAATAAATAAAAAAAATGTTAAATAAATATACGATAAGAATTTTAATATTATTGAAATTATGGTTTTAAATTTTGTCTCTAGAATGAGGCGGACAAATACCCAAACAGATGTTAAATTGACATGTGAAATTGTCCATGTAGTAGTTTTTAGGTTAAATTCCAAATTGTTATCAAATTTAACAAAATAATAAAATTTCTAATAGTTACCAACAAAAAATAATTACAATCTAAAATATTTAGATTAAATTGAACTAAATTGATTAAATGTATTAGTAATTTTTATTCAAACAATACAAAAGATATTTTTTGTTTATTGACAAAATATTCTGTCACTTTCACCGCGCTTCCTACAATGTTCACTCCAGTGAGCAGTGGTACCAACCAATTACATTTTTACCAACCTAATTGTAAATTTTTTAAACTACTTTTATTCATTGTAATAACATTCCAGAACTATTATTATTATTTTTAATTTTATTAATACATTTATTATGAATTATTTTTAAAAATTTATTATTCATTTTTTTTTGTTAATGTTTTAAAAATTCAAAAGTCGCGCGAAAATGCCACCTTGCGGTGGCAATATAAAATAACAAATTGTAAAGTCAAAATTTTTAGGTTATTTTTTTTGTCGAAAAAATTTACCTTAATTTCTTATTTTTATTCACAGCTGCCATGAAACTTTTATGGTTTTTCGATTATTTATATAAAACAATGATTAATTATTAACAAACATATATAATAAGCGTTAGGATTAAAAAAATAAAATAAGATTAAATGTTGTCGAACGAAAAATGGTTCTTCCACTTTCTGACTGACGACACCATTTGCAATGCGGCGTAATGCCAACCCAAGATAACAAAAAAACTAAACTTTTCATTGTTACCAATATAATTTTTTTTTTCCATGAAAGTTAAATTTTTTTATTTATTCATGTTTTTTCGTAATTTTTATACTTATTATTAATAAAATAACATTTTTATATAATTACAATTTGGATTATACATTTACCTTTATTTTTTTGTTTAACATTTTGATGCTAAACTTTTTAGGTTAGGTTTTCGTGTCAGAAAAATTTTATCAAAATATGCTAATTTTCTTTTTGCTGGCCATGAAACTTTTACAAATTTTCGATAATTTAGATAAATCTGAACTCAATTACAGTGAAATATGTATAATTAGCGCTTTGATTAAAAAAATACAATAAGATTAAACAGAGCTGCACGAAATATGGACCTCTTACACTTTCTGACGACGCCATTTGCAATCAGCAGTAATGCCAACCCAAGATTACAAAAAAATAAACTTTTCACTCCTACCAACATGCGAAAGCGCCTTAAAGAAGTTATTGTTTTTAATTTCTTTTTTTAAACCCATTGAAATCATTTTACAATAATATCTTATGTTAATGTGAATGTGTACCGTGTGCATTTAACATATATTAAGCTGGTTATAAATTATTAATTATCTTTAAGCGTAATTATATAGCGCCACCTAAAAACTTTTGTTATAACTTGGGGAAAAATCACATAGATTATTGTGTTTATTTTTGACTTTTGTGGAGTCCTAGACATCTATCTAATTTGTTAAGTCGTGGTTTGTTTTTTAGTAATTTGTTTTGAATTGCAAAGTAAGTTTGTTCTCTAAAAAAAACAGCTGATATATCATTTTTGACGTCATTTCTTTAAAGGGTAAGTGTAAGTGCTTGTATATATTTTCGACGTAAATAAAACCTACTCTTTTCGAATATAATTAAAAATACATCTTCACATCTGGGCGGAGGTATCATCATAGGACACATTATTTTACAATTAGGTCATGCACCTATATTTAGGAAATGAAGACTACATAATTATTATATAGTGAATTTACTATTATGAAATTTAATGTGATAAAATAAATGACGTATGCCTTTTGTATACGTCATTATTTCAATGCTAAAAAGTGCATCTGTTTTTTTCTTTATAATTTAATTGTTGGGGGAAAAAACAATATTATTTTGTGAAGGTGCTGATACTTTTCCTTTTAATTTGTTGTTTTAGAGAAACGATATTTTTTATCAAATTTAAAATCAGATAATTCAGTATATACCCTACAAGGAAGTTTAAGGTCAATATTGTTTCAAGAATATTTTTGTAAATATTAAAGTTTAAATTGTTTTTTCTTTTTTAAACATTGGTGTGATTATATTTTTAACTTTTTGAGTTTCAAACCTTTTAAATTTGATATTAGTGTGTTGAATAATATTTTTAAAATACCGCTTACAATGAATTATAAACAAATGTAGAAAATTTGTTAATTTATAATAGATTAAAAATATGAATAAAAATTGTTAATTATTAGGTTAAAAACTTATAATTTTCAATGTTAATAGATAGCTTTAAGTGTCGTACTTTTTTAAAAATATTTATTTTTTTAGGCGGAAGCATCTACTATGAATAAAAATGGACCTCCTCCACCTTATGAACCACCTCCATCTGCACCGCCTAGTTATGCTCAATCCGTGGGCGTATCACCAGCCAGTCCATTTACACCAGCAGAAGCTTGTAAGCTTCTTACTGTATTAATTACATCAACCGAACATTATTTAATTTCACGTTAGAATTGTCTCAAAAAATGTATCTTCTTATATATACTAAAAAAAATTATTACTTCAATTATAATTATAAAAATAATTATAAATTTAATCTGGAAAATTTTAAATTAGATTTTATAATATATTTTTAATTATTTTTTAAATACTAATATTAAAAATAAATTTTAGATGCCAATGGACCCACCATAGTTACGACTATAGTTCCTTTAGGTACTGGACCAACACACACAATTTGTCCTCATTGTCATGCTGAAATTGACACAACAACGAGAACAGAACCTGGAATGATTGCCTATATTTCTAGTGTTGTGATTGCATTACTTGGGTATTTAAAAAAAAATTCTTTTTAAAATTAGTAACTCAATGTAATTAAAGAGAAATTAAAAAAAAATTAAATTTCAGTTGTTGGTTCGGATGCTGCTTGATACCTTGTTGCATTGACGAATGTATGGATGTACATCACACATGTCCAAATTGTAAGGCATACCTTGGACGTTACCGAAGATAAGTTAAAAATCAAAAACGACCAATAACTTTGCATTTCTACGCGAAGCATCGAGAAGTTAGGAAAAAAATATTATCTATATATATTAATAATTATTCCAAAATGACCAAATTCACAAGCTTTTTAAAAATTTCTTCTAAAGTTCCAAAATTATATAAAAATAATATTTTAGTTAACATTAATGAAAAAGCAATAGTTTTTTTTCTGATTAATTTTCTATAATTGACTCATTATTAATTCCTTGCTGCTTCTTTTTCTTCTTGTTATTTTAATTACAAGTATTATTTAGTAGAAAGAAAATTTAATAAAAATAGAAATTACCTGCAAATTTAGCGAGGAAATGGGTAATAACTATTGAATAAAATGTGTCACCGAATTTATTGTAGATGAGGTGTAGGTAACTTAGATTTTTGAAAATAATTTATTTTACACTCGCAAAACTTGTCTATCAAAAAAATAATCATCATTGTAAAAGTATAACAGACTTTTATAACGTGTGTTTTACATAACTAGTACCTGTAAAAGCAAACATGCTGTATTAAAAAAAAAGAGGAACTTTACAATTGTTGATAAAAAGTGTTTTTTTAAAAACACTTATTAAATTTATCGCTTTTTGACACGTTTCTATATAGATGATATTAATATTTTTCTGCGTAATTAATTTAAGAATTCGCAGCTACTGAGAAAGACTATAAAAAGGACTGTTTTTGACGCAGCTATGATTCTTTTTTTTAACAAATTCTAACGGACTTCTTAAATATTTTATCTAGAATTCAAATTGAGAATAATTTCAATTTTTTAATTGAACACAAACTATTTTAATCAATTTTTATAATGTACTTGCTAAAAAACACATTTATTTATTTGAAAAGTTTTTTTTACATCTATAGAATACGTACAAAAACTTATTACACAAATTAATGTTTTTAAGCACATTTTATCACAAGTATATATTGAAAGTATGTGCCTTTTTATATTTAAGCCAATAGTTGATTAATTAAAAAAAAAAAATACGAATAGTACAATGGAAACAAACTTTATACACAATCATTGATACTGAGCAAATGGTAGACAATATTATGATCTTACAATTTGAGAAATTATATTTAATTTTTGTTTTGTGTTGAAAAAATAATATTAAAAAGATGTTTTCTAATCAAATTAATTATTGTCATATTTGAATTAATAGTTTTAATCGTTATTGTAGATATTTTACAGTAAATTTAATTTTGTCATTATTGTATGACTCCGAGGTTCTGATCTAATAATTCTACCTAATTATTTAACTATTTTTTGACTATTTTAATATGTAATGTATTAGAATGTGTGGTCTAGAATTTTAATATTATTTACTATTGTAAACTAATCATATATTGAAATAAAAAAAATTCTTGACAATTTACACAATATTAAATTTGTTAATTTAATTATTCCCGGTAAATTTATTTATATTTTCATAATTATATAACTATTTGAAAGTATAACAGACAACTTCAGAGAATTAAAATAACCTGCTTTTTGATTAAAGGTATCTTACATTTTTTTTTTAATTAATTAAATTTTAATATTCGAAATTTATATTTTCAAAGAATTTTAAGAATAAAAAAATGGAAATATAATTTTTAAATAATAATTCACAAATCAAATCCACGTAAACAAGCTTGGACATGATTAAAATAATAAATTCCGGATATCCGGTAATTTTAACCAATCAGATTATTTTGAGATAGTCAGCTCCCTCAGACGAGAGAATCATGAACTTCTATTGTGATGTCGAGTGTGCGAGTCTATTGTATAAATTATAAAGAAGTAGTGCAGTGTGTTGGCTATATTTTCTAAAAAAAAAAGTTACAATTTTCATAGATTTTCCGTTGTTCTCGCCATGACGTTAATCTAAAATTGTTTAAAAAATACTGATCCCGATGTTGGTCGTAGCATGTAATTTACATGCTTTTAAAGAGGAAAAAATCCGGGGAGACAAATCGTGGATACCGAAGAAAGCTTCAAACGTGTTTGAAGCTTTCGAGGTCGTATTCATGGAACTATGAACCTGGACTCGTTGTCTTTTACTTTGTCACAAATCAGTTATTTGGTTGCGAAGTTAAATAAAAGAAATTTTGAAGGAAGCTGCCAGGAAATATCAACTGTAAGTAAAATGGAATCTGCGTTCTTGGTTTGCGTTTGTTCCCCCTACTCTCATGATTGCGTGGGCCAGTATTTTTTGCCTCATGAGAGAGAGACCAAATTTAATTCAAAATGTATTATAGAATCTAAATTGAGAACATTTAAACGTCTTTATTTTTATCTAAATAAATTCTATTCATTTGAATTTCAATAAATTTACAACACGATGATTAAAATGCTTACCATTTAACCCCAAAATATTTCAACAGATGCCTATATAATATTTTCTTTCGAATGTTTATATATGGTTGTGAATGCTTTATCTCACTACTTTTCCATTATGTGTCCAATTTTTCTGAATAACTGTAATCAGATTTAGAGCAAAAAAAAAAAAAAAATACAGCGACATTAGAGAAAACATTTGACACTAGTTTTTTCACAACAATTACCATCAATTTTATAGATTTTCATTTTTGACAAGTATAAATACTCTGATTTTATTTTGTATATATTTAGATATTCTATTTGTAATTTTACGGTACGGATTTTTTAAATTATGTAAACAAAATATATTTTTTAAAAAGATTCCTGTAAAATTAAAAGCATTAAAAATTTTCCAAATGGTAATTATTAATTTTTTTTTTTTGTTCTCATTATCTGTTACTGTACAATGTTATCGTATTTAATGATAATTAACTTTAAATATCCATATCTTTAGGATTTTGAAAGAATTAATTGTTTATGAGTTATGAAATTAATCGACATTGGGTTTTTTTTTTTTGTTAATCACACTTTTAAGAATATTAATTTCTCTTATAATTATAATATAATTAATAAAAGTTTAATTTTTTTACAGTTAGTACAGGGGAAGGGTTTGGAGGCAGACAGACATTTACTGCGCTGTTTGCTTTCTAGTGTTGACTTTTCAACGGAAGAACCACCAGAACCTAGTGCAAAAGACTATTATCAAGTTCAGCTTCTTAAACAAGAACTTACTGCCCTTTTAAATAAACCCTCCCTTATTTCGAACATTTGTTTCGCTTTTGATCGTCCACTGCTTCAACAAAAGGTAATAATTTGTTTGTTTTTTTTTTTTTATTAATTTTTATAATGATAAATTAATTTTTCTATCAAATTATTTTACAGACTTTAAATCCATCGCCAAAGTTTTTTTTACAACTGCAAAAAGTTATTGGTCTCTCTATAGTACAACTTGTTGTGATTGAAATTGCCTTTCAACATTCAGAGAATCCTGAACTTCAATCATTAGCATTAGAGGATCTTCAGAAACAATTACCGGATTTAGTCAAATATTATATTCATTCTGAGATTGGTAAAAAACAAAGTGAAGAATTAAACGAATTCACACCTGAGGTTTTACATTTGATTTTATTTTACATTTTTCACGAAGCTCAACAGATTGAATTAATAAGTGAGATAAAAGAAAAATTTCTCAAAGCTTTGAGACGGGACTTTCCTCGTGATCTGGTGCCAGTGGTGTTATTACCACTTTTGTATCCAGGAGACGAGGAAACGCCTCAGGATATTCTGCAAACTATGTCGTCCACTCAAATGGTAAAAAAAAAAATTTATTTAAATAAAATTTTCAAAAAATGACAATAATTATTAAATTAAAATTTTTTTTTTAGGATGGAAACGCTCTAGTTGAGCTCATAATGGAATTAGGTTATGGGTTTACAAATAGTGTCGAGGAATGTAGAGCGGCATTAACTGGACTTGGTGCTCGTGAAATTTCCGCATCATGTGTGGCACGAGTTTTATCACACATGGCTCGTACTTGTACGGGTCTCGAAGATACCGGTGGTTTGCAGTCATTTTGGTCGAATTCAAATTCAGGACAAGACTCAAACAAGGATAAATCATCTGATGGTGGAGCAAAAACATGGAATGTCGAAGTTTTTGTTCAAACTTTAAAAGATATGGTAAATAATTTGTTTGAAAAATTTGAAAAAAGGTAAAAATTGCATAAACTAATGAATTTTATTTTTGTCAACAGTCGTCGCTACAATGGAATGATGTAATCATACAGCTTGATCATGCAAAATTTCTTGTTAAAGATCGACAAGGATTAAAGCTTTTAATTACTGGATTAAAATTAGGTCTTCAACTACAAGGTTTTCCTCTCGATGTATTTCCTGTTGAATTATTCTACAGGCATTGGGAAAATGTTGAGGGTCAATTTTCTCTAGTGCAACAAATTCTAAAACATCCAGATATTTTTTGTTTTGCTGACTATCCATATCATTCGGTAACTGTCGATGTATTGAAAGCTGCACCTGAAGGTGATAGTAAAGAAGCTCAAAGTTGGAGATCATTAAATGTGATTGAACTTCTATTGTATATTGCTGAAAGAGGATTTTATGCACCAGTTCAAGAAGTATTTAAATGGCCAATACAACACTGTCCTGATGTTCTTGTTTTAGCCTTACTTCAAATAAATCCCCCATTTACGTTATTAAGGCAAGAACTACTTAGTACATTAATGCCAATTTTCTTTGGTAATCATCCAAATTCCGCTGTGATATTGCATCATGCTTGGCATGTAAATAATCTCATGATAAAAACTATAATAATGCAAGCATTAGCTGAATGGTACTTACGTGGTGATCATGATCAAACAAGATTGTCACGAATTTTAGATGTAGCACAAGATCTCAAAGCATTATCAGCCCTTCTTAATGCACAATCATTTCCTTTTGTTATTGATCTTGCGTGCTTAGCATCGAGAAGAGAATATTTAAAATTGGAAAAATGGCTAACTGATAAAATACGAGAACATGGAGAACATTTTGTCACTGCTTGCGTGAAATTTTTACAAAGAAGATGTCCACAAGTCACAGGATCGGGTATTAAAGAAGATCCAACAGTTCCAAAAGCGAGTCAACTACCACAAGAAACACTTACAACAATTCTTGCATGTCTGCAAGTTTGCGCTGGGTAAGAAAGCAGAAAAGTAATTTTAAATATTTCGATTACTTAACATTTTTTTGTTTTGTTTTTAGAAATGTTTCTCCAGACTGCGCTGAAGCTATTATGACAATGGTACAAAATTGTAGTTTAATGCTAAGTAAAGGAACAATGAGTAGACCACCTCCACCGGGAGTTTTGAGACACAGGGCTCTTGAACCTTTTAATCCTGCAACATTGAACAGCCAAGTGAGTTGAAAATTTTCGAAAAAATATTCTAGTTTTGTTGCTTATTGAAAAAAATTTTCAGTTATTCACCTCGAAACAAGTGGATCCATTGGCGAATTTGGGAACAAGCCTTGCATCCATGGGACTCAGCTCTAGTCTTGGACCACCAAGTAGTTCTGCATTTAATTTACCCGGAGCATTGGGACCTTTGGTTTCAGCTCCCGGTTCTCCATCGCGATTAATGGGACCCTCACCAAATCCATTTCCAATAATATCACAAATTCATTCAGGACCAGTTGGTACACCAGGACCATCAGTTATTGCCAGTGGTACAGCAATTGGTGGTTTAGCACGTCTTGAACCATTGGGTGGAATAGAGAAAGCAAGACTTACCGATACAACGAATACCTTTCCTGATATGACACAAAATTTTTCCAAAGAAATTGAAGACGAAGCAAATAGTTATTTTCAACGAATTTACAATCATCCACCACATCCAACATTATCAATTGATGAGGTTCTCGATATGTTGAAAAAATTCCAAGATTCAGGAAGTAAACGAGAGCGTGATGTCGTTAATTGTATGCTTCGTAATCTTTTTGAAGAATACAAATTCTTTCCCCGTTATCCAGATAAAGAATTACATATTACAGCACAATTATTCGGTGGAATTATTGAACGTGGTTTGGTAAATAGTTACGTAACATTGGGACTTGCATTGAGATTTGTTTTAGACGGTCTTAGAAAACCCGAAGGCGGTAAAATGTATTATTTTGGTATAGCCGCATTGGATCGTTTTAAAAGTCGTTTAAAAGATTATCAAACATATTGTGAACATGTACGAGTGATACCGCATTTCAGTGAATTCCCTAGTCATTTGATTGAATATGTTGAATTTGGACTTCAAGGTCAAGAGCCACCTTCCCGACCTCAAGGTCCAGTTGTACCAAAAAATGTCATGCTGCCTCCTCCTGTTACTACTCCTTATAAGACTTTAACAACGACTACGATTACGACAAGTACAACGCAATCGAAACCTGCGACAACATCGACCGCATCTCTTTCAACTAGGGTATCTATTATTTTATCATCTATTATTTATTCTCTACAATAATTTTTATTACAATTTTTTTTCTTTTTCAGCCTTCCATAGCAAATGCGACAAACATCGATACACTTCTTGTAGCTACAGATAAAGAAGAAAAAATAACATCACCACCAGAAGCATTACAAGACAAAACTGCCTTTATTTTCAACAATCTAAGTCAGCTGAATTTACAACAAAAATGTGATGAAATCAAAGATATAGTCACTGAAGAATATTGGCCCTGGATGGCACAATATTTAGTAATGAAACGAGCCAGTATTGAACTCAATTTTCACGCTCTTTATTCAAATTTTCTCGATTGTTTGAAAATACCCGAAATTAATAAAATGGTCACCAGAGAAACATTTAGAAATATTAAAGTTCTTCTTCGCAGTGATAAAGGAATCGCTAACTTTTCGGATAGATCTCTTCTTAAGAATCTTGGCCATTGGTTAGGAATGTTAACTCTTGGACGTAATAAACCAATATTACATATTGATATTGATTTAAAAAGTCTATTGGCCGAAGCATATCATAAAGGCCAACAAGAGCTACTTTATGTCGTACCCTTTGTTGCCAAGGTTCTAGAAAGCTGTGCAAAAAGTCGCGTTTTTCGTCCTCCAAATCCATGGACAATATCAATTATGAATGTTCTCGCTGAACTCCATCAAGAGCCAGATTTAAAACTCAATCTTAAATTTGAAATTGAAGTACTTTGTAAAAATTTAAGTATCGATGTCGCTGAATTAAAACCCTCGATCTATTTGAAAGATCCTGAAAGATTACGCAATTTGGAATATCAATTGTCACATCCCAATAAAAAACACGAGACAAGCAATAATCAACAGCAACAATCGCAAGGACAAATTGAAGAATTGGTCGGACCAACGACAACTGTTCCAATGATTGCACAAACAGCACCGCCTATTAATACAACACCTTCATTACCCACTGGTCAACCTGAACCGAGATTTAATTATGTGGACATTACCGTTACTGGAATTACAAATATTGCTCCACATATTACCATAAACAATCAAGTACGTATTCTTTTATATTTCAAAAAATTTTTAAACAAATTTTTTTTTTTCAATTTTTCCCATTATTTCAGTTGCCCATTTTGCAAGCACATCCACAATTGAAACAATTTGTCCGTCCAGCTGTTGAGAGAGCAATTCAAGAATGGATTCATCCAGTCGTTGATCGTTCAATTAAAATTGCATTAACAACAAGTGAACAAATAGTAAGAAAAGATTTTGCATTAGATTCCGATGAGAATAGAATGCGTCAAGCTGCACGTCACATGGTACGTAATTTAACGGCAGGCATGGCAATGATAACATGCAGAGATCAAATTTTAGCGTCAATAAGCACAAATTTAAAACAAAATTTCTTAAATGCCATGATTGGCCATACACCACAACAAAAAGAGCTTGTTGATCAAGCAGCAAATGTAATAGCCAATGATAATATGGAACTTGCTTGTGCGTTTGTTCAAAAAACAGCAATTGAAAAAGCCGTACCCGAAATGGATAAGAGGCTAATGAATGAATTTGAATTGAGAAAAATTGCACGACAAGAAGGACGACGTTATTGTGATCCATTGGTGAAATATCAATCGGAAAGAATGCCCGAACAAGTGAGATTAAAATTAACTGGCGTAACACCACATCAAATGGCTGTTTATGAAGAATTTGCAAGAAATATTCCTGGATTTCAACCAATGACTGATCGTGATTCGAGAGCATTGTTTATGCCTAAACCAATTAGTGTAAGTAGAAAAAGAAATAAATAGAAATGAATGTGGTGATGGGGGAGTAATTTTCTTTTTTTTAATAGGGACCAATGCAGTTTGCTGCTAATCCAGCAGTAGCTGCAGCAACAGTACAGCAAGTAGCAGCTTATGCTGCAGCAGCAGTTAGTACTGATGAAATTGGAGCTATGTTGGAAAAACTTGCGTCTGAAGTTGAGCATTTATTAGCAGCAATGGGACCTGCAGCACCACCTCCACAGCAAGTTGCTCTTCATAGTCTTCTTGAAGCTATCATTGCGACTAGGAGAGCTCGAGATGCCAACACAGCATTAACTTTGCTAAAGAAGGTAATTAATTAATTTTTTTAAATTTTAGCATTTATTAATAATAATTTACACTTACAATTTTCTAAATAGGCTGTCGAGGGTTTAATGGACTGTCCAATTGTCACGAGTGGAGTTATGGAATCCGAGACTATTCTACGATTTCGTGATTTGCATGTTCGAATTTTAAAATGCTTACAAGATCAAAGAGCCTATGGTATGCAGTGGACAAATAAAAATGTAACTCGGTGTTTAATAGAATGCAGAGAAGAATTTCGATATAATTTCGAAGCAATCGATTGTTTAATAAGGTTAGTATGATGAAAATTTTTAACAATTATTTTTATAAACGAATTTTTAAAATAATACTTCTTATTATCTTTTAGATCACATTTGTTGATATTGTCACAATACGACATGGCTCTAGCACAAGCGATGGAAAATGGAAGTGCAATTGCAACTGCGTTTGCTATGCAATTGATACAACTTTATTTAGTGGAAGAAAGACAAACAACTCACGTTACAGAATCTGATCTTTACAATACTATTGAGATTCTTGTAAGAATGGCACATCTTAGAACTCCACCAGAAGGGTAAGTAATTATAGAATATTAGTAAAAAATTTTGAATTTGAACTATAGTTACCTATTCTTTTTTTCAGTATCATGCTCTATAGATTGACAAACTTGATTGATTCTCTAAGAGCAAATCACGATCCTGGTGTACTTGCTGATAGAATGCCAGCTGGACCAACAGCTCATATTCATTCTGGAATAATGCAAGCAAAAGTAATTGTAAATTCTTTTTGTTTCTATAAGTTTTCTAAAAAAAAAATGAAAAATTTGTATATTGATTTTATTTTTTTTTTTAATAGGCACGTGATTATGATGATCCACCGGGTTTATTTGAAAAGACAGAATTTCTATTGAGAGAATGGGTACAAATGCATCATAGCGCAACACATGCTCGTGATCCAACAAAAGCATTCAGTACTTTTGTTCATCATATGAATATACATGGTATTTTGAAAACAGATGATTTGATAACGAGATTTTTTAAAATTAGCACTCAAATGTGTGTAGATTTGTGCTATAGAGCTCTCGTTGAACCCAGTGCGGGTGCATCTGCAATTCGTGCCAAATGTTTTCACACTTTGGATGCATTTGTTCGTCTTGTTGCACTTCTCGTTAAACATTCAGGCGATACAACAAATACTCACACAAAAATCAATTTATTGAATAAAGTCCTTGGCATTGTCGCTGGAGTATTGCTTCAAGATCATGAAATTCGTCAATGTGATTTTCAACAATTGGCTTACCATCGGTTAGTAATTAAAAAAAAAATTTTTGGATTTAATTACTAATTTTAGAATAATGTCAATTAATTAATTAATGTTTTATTTATAGGATATTTATAATGCTCTTCCTGGAACTTTGTGCCCCGGAACCAGTTTTAGAGGCGATTAATTTCCAAGTACTGACTGCCTTTTGTCACACTCTTCATATTCTTCGTCCAGCTAAAGCATCAGGCTTTTGTTATGCATGGTTAGAACTTGTTTCTCATCGTGTATTTATTGGACGAATGCTTGCCATTACACCACAACAAAAATGTTGGGGAATGTACGCTCAATTGTTGATTGATTTATTCAAATATCTTGCACCTTATTTGAGAAATGCTGAACTCGCAAAACCAGTCACTTCACTTTATAAGGGAACATTGCGTGTGCTTCTTGTTCTACTTCATGATTTTCCAGAATTTCTCTGTGATTATCATTATGGATTTTGTGATGTGATTCCACCAAATTGTATCCAAATGAGAAATTTAATTCTCAGTGCATTCCCAAGAAATATGCGTCTACCTGATCCGTTCACTCCAAATTTGAAAGTTGATATGCTACCAGAAATTGCTCATGCACCAAGAGTTCTCACTAATTTTGCATCAATGATTCAGCCGCCAAATTTCAAAAAAGAACTCGATTCTTATTTGAAAGCACGTGCACCAGTTACATTTTTATCTGAATTGAGAAGTAATTTACAAATTTCTCAAGAGGCTGGATCAAGATATAATATTCAATTGATGAACGCTCTTGTATTATATGTTGGAACTACGGCAATAACATTTATTAGAGGCAAAGGACACACGCCTAATATGTCAACGATCGCTCATTCGGCACATATGGATATATTCCAAAATTTGGCAGTCGATCTCGATACTGAGGGAAGATATTTGTTCTTGAATGCAATTGCCAATCAATTGAGATATCCAAATAGTCATACTCATTATTTCAGCTGTACACTTTTGTATCTTTTCGCTGAAGCAAACACCGAAGCTATTCAAGAGCAAATAACCCGTGTCTTACTTGAAAGACTTATTGTTAATAGACCTCATCCATGGGGATTACTTATCACATTTATTGAATTGATTAAGAATCCAACGTACAAATTTTGGACCCATGAATTTGTTCACTGTGCCCCTGAAATTGAAAAGTAAGTTCCTTTTTAAACATTGCATATTTTTTCCTATTGTTTTATTTTCTATATTAAAAAAAAAAAATCATTTTAATTTTCAGATTATTGGAGTCTGTGGCACGTTCGTGTATGGTTCAAAAGCAGGTGCAGTCAAACACCGAATCAGAAATTCCAGAGTGATAGTACATTTTATCCTTTTTCTTGTCAATTTTATGTACAGTAAAAAACTCGTAAATATTACGAAAAATCGCGTGTAAAAACGTTTGTTAAAATTACGACTAGGTGTATTATACTTTAGGTTCCTTTTTTTTTTTAATGAAATATTTTCTTTTTTTCTAATAGGTAGGTAGTAGTAAGATATATATTAATGATTCGAGGAAAAAAAACAAATTAAAAAATAATACGTGATACGAATGTGTTAATATTTTAATAAAATGATATCATTGCCATTGACAAAAAAAAATGAAGCAATGAAGATGAATATTCAATCTCCGTGATTTGCGTCTTATAAATGACGTTTCGCCAATGAATGTACGGAGTATTGTATTTTATATACCATAGGTATTATCATTTAGTTATAAATATTGCAAAGAAAACCAATTTTGGAGATTATTCTAAGAGAAAAAAAAATGAACTACAGTGTTCAAATAGATTATGATATAGAAAAATCTTTTCAGTTTATCAACTAATTTTCAAGTTTATAATATAAATAAAAAAAAAAAAAAACTAATGTAATAGTCAAATGTTGACGATCCGAACTATAAATAGACTATATAATTAATTCTTGGTAAGAACTTGATTTAATACACAGTATCATCAGAATTAAAAGAAATGAAAAAGACAAAGTCTCGAAATGTGTACTTGGAAAAACCCACAGTAGATAAAAAAAATAGTTCTGTGGTATTGTACGAACATGTAAGTACCTTTTGTAACTTTACATTTCGAAAGGATGAATAGTTCAACACAATCATTATGTAAATGTCGTTTAATAAATAATAATACAATTTTCTGTGTAATTTTGTACATTATTAATATTTTATATATATATATATATATAATTAATCTAAATTGGTATAGATTAAACTGTTTGCTGATCACGTGTTGCATGATAAGCATCCCTCTCTTTATCAGGGAACTTGGTTGGTAAATTTGGACTATGAAGATGACATTTTGCGAGGAATCTTATTCCAGCCACATCGACTTCATAATCTCCTGAGAGAATATATTCATTTGTAACTTCTTGTTCATTTCCATTTGAATCAATATTCTTTACAAAACCAAGACACACCTATAATAAAAAATATGTCAATTTTTATCTTTATCGATAATAATAATAATAATATTAATAATAATAATTAGAAAAAAATCATATGTAGATATTTAATTATGTAATAAAGATATAAAATGGTTTCTAAAAGAAATAAAGCATACCTGCTTTTTAAAAGTAAATCCGTAAGCTGTTGTTGTTGTCATTCCACAATATTTTCCGTTTCTATAAATTGGTTCACCACCCCATGACCAAAGATCAATTTCTGGATCGTGATCATTTAATAAAAGTTGAACGTACTTTCGCTTAACACCATTTTCTCTTTGTTTCAAAAGAGCTTCACGTCCGATAAAATCAATATCTTTCTGTAAAATAAAATAATACTTTTAAATTGTAGGAAATAAAATTTAAAAACATTCACTTACATCAAATTTTACTCTCCACGATCTTCCACATTCTAGAGGAGTGGTAAAAGTATCAAGATCTTGACCCCAAAATGCGTAAAATTTTTCAACTCTCAAAGCTCTTGTCGCATAATAACCAGCATGTCTTATTCCATATTTTGCTCCAGCGTCAATTAATTTTTTATAAACATGAAGAGCAAACTTGAAAAAAAATTTCATTTTATTAATCTAGTAAATTATAATCAAAAAAAAATGTTTACCTCATTTGGAATATAAAGAACATATCCAAGTTCTCCAGTGTGAGTTAAATTCATTGTACGAATTCCATTTGCTAATCCAACATCAAGTTCCTAGGGAAAAAAAGATTAAAATAAAATAAATCAAATTAAAATCGAAAAAAGTAAAAAAAAATCCCTCACCTTATAAGTAAAAAATGGAAAATTTTTCGGATTCAAATCAGTGTCAGTTAATTCAGATAATAATTGTCTAGTTGAAGAACCCATTATACAAATAGCCGTATATGCTGAAGTGACATCAGAAAATGCCACAGAGCCATCAGCAGGTAAATGACGTTTCAACCATGTTTTACATCGAGTTTGTTGAATCGTTGGAGCAATCATCATATAACTAAAAAATTTTTTAAATCATTAGATAAATGAAAAAAAAGTTAGATATATTTTTTAAAAATATATATATACTGATTTGCATTAAGTCGAGCCAAACTGCAATCATTTTCATATCCACCACAACGATTTTGCATTCCAGTGTGAATAATACTTCCAACTGGAACATCAACATTGTTTGAACATAAATACTGTAAATAATCAACTACTTCCAGACCATTCGACTGAAAAAATAATAATTTACAATAATAATTTATTTTTATAATAATAAGAAGAATTTTATTAACAATAATTACCCATAAGTCGATTTTTGTAAATGAAGAATAATCACTTAATCCAATTGTTTCACGACAAGCTGCATATTCTAGGGAAACTGCATCAAACCAAGGTGGTTTTCCAAAAGTATCAGTGTACGCAATTTTACCATCAATTGGATCTGAATCTATAAAACAAAAAATTATTAATTATCAAATTAATTGAGAAATTAAATTATTTATTAAAAAATACCATAGTCAGTTTCAATATCGTTTTCTTCAAACCATGTTGGTCTCTCATATCCCATAACTTGTCCAAAAACTGCACCAGCTTCTCGTAATTTTGGATAAATAGGTGACATTCTTAAATTTCGTCCAGTTTGAAATTCCTGATGTGGATATTGTAATCCATAATGTAAACCAGGAACTTCTCTTACACGATCTCGTAAAAATTTTCGATTATTATGTAAACCTAAAAAACGTGAGACATCCAATTCATACATATCAAGAGAAGTTTTTCCATTTACTATCAATTCTGCAGTTGCTCTTCCAACACCTCCTGCAGCCGATATTCCTACCTGAAATTATAATTTTATAATTATTATTGTATTATAATATTTTTTTTGTTTTGTTTCATTACCGTTTTCATTCCAGCTGCAATATAATAATTTTGTATTTCAGGAGCTTCACCGACAATCCATTTACAATCGGGAGAAAATGCCTCAGGTCCATTGCACAATCTTTCTAGAATTGCATCTCCCAAACTTGGAATTCGATGAAGCATTTGTTCCAATAAAATATGAAAATGATCCCAATCTTCGGGTAAATATCTTTCTTTTGCGTTCTCTTTAAAATAATTCAATATTTAAAATAGAATATATAACATAAAAAGAATAAAATTCTTTACCAGGAATAATTCCATTTTCAAAAGCTGGTTTAGCAACAGGTTCAAATCCACCAGCTAAAATTCGACCCTTATTTTCTCGAAAATAAATATAACCATCCAAATCACGAACAACAGGTGTCATTGGATCTAAATCCTTGATTGGTTTTGTATGTAGATAATAATGCTCTACTGGATGTAAAGGTACCTGAAACAATTATTAGAAATTATTTTATATAATAAATATAAAAAAATAGAATTAATTAAAAAATGGAAAATACAGAACTTTAACTTGAGGATCACTCAATTTTCCCACAGAACGAGCCCAAAATCCAGTGCAATTTATAAAATGTTGACATTCAATTTTACCTCGTGTTGTCTCGACACCTTTGACTTTTCCATTGTGATTATAAATTTTTGAGATTTTACAATTTTCATAAACTTTAACACCTGAAAAATTATTGTTTTCTTTAATTCTAAAAACAAAAAAAATCCAATTTATTTATTAAATTACCATTTTTTTTAGCTTCTTCAATTAATGTCAAACAAATTTGATAAGGATCAGCGGCACCATCATCTGGTATCCATAAACCACCAACAATATCATCAATTTGAAGTAAAGGACACAATTTTTGTGCTTCTTCTGGTGATACCAAATGACAATCAATATTTCGTGACACTGATTGTGCTTTCATTCTTCGAAAGACTGTCATTCGATCTCTTGTGCGAGCTAAAGACAAACTTCCACATTGTTTCCAACCTGTTGGAAGTCCCTTTTTCTCAAGTTCCTTATAAAGTGCAATACTATCTTGTGCTAATTTGACTTGAGCTAAACTTGGTTTAAAAGCTCCAACTAAACCAGAAGCATGCCAAGTAGTTCCTCCACCTAGTCTGTAGGTTGAAAAATTAATTATTTTTTCGTTTTTTGAAAAAGTAATTCCGAAAAAAATCATTGACATTGACCTACTACTCTCGACTATCACAGTTTGTGATCCAAGTCCCATTAATGACAGATGGTATGCAACAGCAGCACCCATAACACCACCTCCACAAATTACAACTTGGCAATCCTTTGGAGGTATTTCACCTTCTAAATTATTGTCATTTTCCTTTGTTGATGCTAAATTTATTCCTTCTTTCCAACGTGATTTGGACTTTTTCACTGTCAATATTTGTGACAAAAATTTTGATCTCTGCCACATATTTATACTAAAAATAATACAAAATCTTGTTAATTAAACAAATAATTATATTAAAATTAAACAATATTAAATTTTCAAATCCTTACATTAACAATTATTTCTTATTCAAGGACATATGAATTTGTCAAAATAATATCTAAATAACAGATTTTATATCTTTATAAAAAGCATATTTTAAATATGTCATTGAATTATATACAATAAAAATTAAAATAAAAGCAATTTATAACAATAATTTGTAAATCATCTAATTATTTCCTTATTATCTATAGAAATTATAACACACAACAAAACACTGTACATATATACTAAAGAATAACTGAATTATAGGTTATGTTAACTAGGGACTTTGTGCGAATTTGTAAATTCTTTTAATAGAAGAAAACTACTATAAAAATAATTAATTAATAATTTAATTTTTAAATATACAATAAATTTTTGAATAGAACTATATAGAAATTAATTATTCCATTTTTTATAATAAAAATAAGACAAACAATTTAATGTTTATTTGTTTATTTGAATAATTAAATATAAATTTTTAATATAATAATCTCTGCATTATTATTGTTAAAAGAATCTTTTACAATTTATATATATATAACTTATATATAAATAAAAATAACTTACAATAATAAAATTTAGAAATAAAATATGAATTATTATTAATATACATGAGCATTAGTATAATAATATTGCTTTAATAAAGAATTTATTCCATTTTGATTAAAATAATTCATTTTTTTTTCGATTATAGATTAACATTCTATATATAAATAATTAAATATATATATATAATATTGTTATTATGTACTAAAGTACTGGAAAAAATGAAATTTCTAAAAGTGAGAATCTTAAAATTATAAACTAAGGAATGATTTACAGATCATTCGAAAGTGCCCTTTCGTATACCACACAACAATAATATATAACATAATTCAATTCTCATCGGCCTAATTCTTCCCAAAAACCTCTACGATTTACGTACAGTAAATTTTATCATCTCATTAACACAAAAAAATTGTTCTCCATTTAATTAAAAATAATATAATTGTTATATGATTGAAATAATATATATAAATATTCAGTAATATAATTTAAACATTTTTTTTTATATGGCTATTTAAATTATTTTACAAATTAAGGCAAATTAAAATAGTTCCCTTTGCTCATTTATGGAAAAACTGCATTTTTTTTTATCACTATTGAGTGAAAATTATACTTTCGCGAGACAATTTAAAGCTTCCTATACTCTGACATGGATCCATCGCAAACATCCTTTGCGATAAAAAAGTTTCCTGAAGCTGTAAAGGAGGAATCCTCATTTTTTTTTTTTAATCAATTTTCGCCCACGAGGCAGCGTCGATATTCGATAATCAATTTTGGTATAAATACTTTAATTAGATTGCCAGACGATTATTCCAATTAAAATGGCTAAAACAACAACGCCAATGATAAGGAGAAAACATTTCTTTTTACGCAATTTAGTTTGATAATTCGATGCCATCCTAAGTTGTTCTGTTCCTTCATTAACAAAAACTTCTGTTCTTTCAACTGATGCTTCTATTGAATCAACAATTTCTCCTTGAGCATGAACGAGAGCTCCCAATTCTTTGAAAATTTGATTCACATCTTGGATATCGCTCTGCAAAAAAATTAATTTTTTTAATATATAGAAAATTAATAAATAATTGTCGATTCATCAAAATTATTATTGAATTGCAATTACTTCTAACTGACGAATATTTGCCTCCTGTTCTTCTAACATTCGCAAATTATGTTCTTCTTGCATTTGTTGTTGTTGTATTTGTTTTTGAGTTCGATTGTCCTGCAATTCAATAAGAGTTTCTTGTTTCCTTTCACTAGGTGGACCAAGACCAGCACTGGCCTTTGCTTTTCTGACCAATTCCCTTTCTTTGGAAGCCGCATTTCTCTGTACCGCCTGCAAAAAAAAGAAAAAGAATTTTAAAAATTAAAAAAAGAAATAGAAGAAATAAAATGTATAACACAAACCTGAAAACTGTTTAATGCAGTTGTAAATTCATCTTGAAGTCGTTCCTTTTGCATTTTTCGTTGACGTTGCTCTCCAGGACTGCTTGATCCCGAATTACTTGCTAAAGTTGCTAAATCACGAAGATGAACATTGGTGTCTTTAGCCAATTGCTGAGTATAATGCTGAATTTGATGCCTGAAAAAAAAACATTTAAATTAGAAGAAAAAACATCGCAATTGTAAAATATTCTTACAATTGGTTCCTAAGTTCCTGAGAATCCGTTGAACCACCGAGTTGATTGACCATTTTGTGCATAGACGATACTACAAAAAAAAGAAAAAATGTTATCAAATATAAAATTTTTAAAATTGTCTTCAATTTCTAAAAATATTAATATTACCATTTTGAGATATTTTTAATATCGAAGTGCCTATGGTTTGAGATAATCTCCCAAAATCTTGTAGGGAAGTTGGACCCCCATTATGATAAGAAGAGAATCCTCCGTCCATTTTTATGTCCTGTTTAAAATATAGAAAAGAATAATTATTCAATATTACTTATTCAAAATTAATACTTGTTATATAAATACATATACATATATATATCTGTATATACTTGAATTCTTTCAAGACAATAACTCGAAAAGTGCTAATCAGTATCTTTAAAAATAAAAATTCTTTCAAAACATTCAACACTATCTTAAAACAATAGAAATATTACAATAATAATAATAACAGTAAAAAAAACTTGTTCCAGAATTTCTCAGTTATCAATTGAAATTAAAGAATAACTATTTAATACCTTGTAACAAATTTCTTTATCAAATGATAATATGCATAACTGCGCAAAATAAAAAAAAATTTAACTAAAATTGCAAACGTGTATCAAAAAGAGAAAACAAATAAAATAAATGCATTAACTTTTACAGTTTGTCGTAAAGTATAAATCACTAAAATGATAAAGATTTCTACAATTTTCAAATTATAAAATGTATTTCCAAAGAAAATTAATAACAAATTGTATAAAGTTAAGAATTACTCAATTGCAAAATAGGCTAGAAAAACAAAAACCTAGACAATAAAAACAAATCGTAAATATGATTTTTGACTCTATAAACATAATTCTTATTATAAGTGAAAGAATTCTGTTTTTTTTTTCTTTTTGCTTCAATTTTACAGTAAATTATTATTTTAATGACAGATGTCAAATACCTGACAGATGACTCACAATTATGAGTTATATGGCTTCAAACAATATTAATTCTGGAATTTTTTAATTCTTAATTATAAACTTAGATTTTTTCAATTGGTTACTAACCGTAATAGCACCGTAATAGTGACGTTTTTCTTGTTTTTGACCTATTGTTAAACAAATAGCCTATTTTTTACTACAAGGAAAATGACAACTGAACTGGGTAATGATGTAATGTCAGTTTCATACAGCGTCAAAAACATGCAGAATTGTGTCATTAAATTTGATTGGCTATGATAAAAAATATTTCCAAAAATATTGGAAAGTTTCGAAAAGCAAAGCCAATCAAATTTAGTGACTTGTTTATGCATTTTTTGTAAAAATTATGAACACACCATAAAGATTGTTAACACGACGTAAATAGAACATTGTTTAAAAAATCTTTTGTTTAAAATAATGTAAATATACATTATTAAAAGTATAATAACAATCAAGAGAATTGCAACAAATCTTTGTCATTTTGCTAATAATGAAATATAATTGCATCAAATGAATGTTAAACACAAATAATCAGCTGATTCAGTTAACCTCAAAATCAAGTGTCAACACGTGGTTTAATTGTCAATTATTAAAAAAATGTATTTATTATAAATACAGATGTATACAATTAAAATTGTAACAATATTCACGTCTGGAAAGAAATTTTAATACAAAATGAATAAAAAAGGTTATAATTGGAAATCGAGAAATGGAAAACAAGTGGAAATTGATAATTCTGCAACAAAGAAGGTAAACAGATATTTTTTTTTTTTTTTTTTTAATAAAACAATAAAATTAATAATTGTTATGTTATCAGATTCTAGTGGATTTTAAATACAATGAAGATAAATTCGATGCCAATAATGCTCTAGCTCTACCTAGTAAGAAAAGAAAAACAAAAAGTATTAAAAATAAATCCCAAATTGCAGAACCATTTCTTTCTAAAAAGAAAAAGAAACATTTAGAAAAAATAGTTGAAAAGAAGAAGAAAAAACTTAACGTAAGTTACAGATTAATTATTAATAAAATTTTTGTAACTTACAATTTTTTTTTTATATAAAAAATTAATATTTACAGAGAGCAACGTTAGAAAGTAATTTGGCACAAGTTTCAGTTTCTCAAGATGAATTAAAACAATATGTTTCGTTTACTGCTGTTCAAACGAAAGGTCTTAAAAGATATTTACGAGAATCTGAAGCCTCATTAGAAAAGAATACACCACAAGAAGTTGATGAGAATAATGATAAAGTAATAGTAAATACATTAAAAGGAGCAAAACGAATACGTTTAGCACTTGCTCAAGAACCAAAGGAGAAGAAAAATTCAACTGATCCTAATATTCTCGATTTAGATGTAAGTACAAATATTTAATTTTAAAATGAATGATCTTTTTTTAGATTTAAAGAAAAGTAAACTAAAACACAATATTTAATTAGGAATCTAGTGAAAGTGATGATTCTGATGACGAAAGTGACGAATCAATTGAAGTTAAAAAATCTGAACAAGAATCTTGTCCTAAAATTGAAAATGTAATTTCTTCTGTTTCCAATACATCTGTAAATGAAAATAAAAAAGAAACTACAAAAGTGATTACAAAAGGAATTAATGAAGAATCTAAAAAAGAGAATAAGAAGACTAATATTCCAATAATTGAAGTGGAAAGAAAACCTGCAGTGTTTGTGTCTGTGGATCGCAAACCAGAAATTCAGGAAGCTCGTCTAAAACTTCCAATTTTAGCCGAAGAACAAGAAATTGTAGAAGCAATTAATGAGAATCCAGTTGTTATTATTACCGGAGAAACAGGATCAGGTAAATAAATATTTTTCAGTTCTGAATTAAATAAATAAATCACTAACAATTGTTTGAATTTAAATAGGAAAGACAACACAAGTACCACAATTTCTTTATGAAGCTGGTTACGCAAAAGAGAGAATGATTTGTATAACTGAACCAAGAAGAGTAGCTGCTATTTCTATGAGTAAACGTGTTGCAGAGGAAATGAATCTTTCTGAAAAGGAAATTTCTTATCTTATTCGATTCGAAGGAAACACAACAGATGAAACGAAAATAAAATTCGTGACTGATGGAGTTTTATTAAAAGAAATACAAACCGTAAGTATTGTATTAAATTTTTTAATAATACAAAAATTTTTTAATTTATAATTATTTATTTTTATTTTAGGATTTTCTTTTGAAAAAATATTCAGTTATTATTTTAGATGAAGCTCACGAACGAAGTGTTTATACAGATATATTAATTGGTTTTCTAACACGAATTGTTAATTTAAGATTGAAAAAAGGCGATCCTTTGAAAATGATAATCATGTCAGCAACTTTACGTGTCGATGATTTTGTCAATAATTCCAAACTATTTAAAATAAAACCACCGGTAATTAATGTTGAATCGAGACAATTTCCTGTCACTGTGCATTTTAACAGAAGAACAGATGACGATTATGTGAAGGAAGCACTACGTAAAACTGTAAAAATTCATTCACAATTACCTGCTGGAGGAATTTTAATTTTCTTAACTGGTAAATGGAATTAGTTTTAGAAAATTTATTGATATAAAACTTGTTTGTAAATATTTTAATATTAAATTTTTTTTTAAGGTCAGCGAGAAGTAAATCATGTAGTTCAGAAATTACGTAAAGCTTTTCCTTATAAAGAAAAGAAGGGAAAAATGAAGAAAAGGAAAGAAACAAAAATTGAAGAAAGTGAAAATGAAGCAAATTCAGATGAAGAATTTTTCTCAGTAAAATCTCGTAAAACGTTAAAGAAAAAATTGAGTGGCAAAGAATTACCCCGAGTTGATCTAAATGAGTAAGTATGATAAATAATTATTTTCTGATATTAATTTATCAGTAAATTATTTTTCTTTAGATATTCAGCATTTCCAACTAATGAAAATGATACAGATGATGATGATATTATTGATGATGATGATTATGATGATGATGATGGGATCGATTTAAGAGGTATTTCAAATTTACAACCTCTATGGGTTTTGCCTCTTTATTCACTCCTCTCTAGTCAAAAACAAGCAAAGGTAATTATTAATTATTTATCAATTAAACATTTAAAAAAAAATTTCTATTTTCTTTTTTTTTTTTTAGGTTTTCGAACCTCCACCTGAAGGATGTCGTTTATGTATCGTTTCGACAAATGTTTCTGAAACTTCTTTGACTATTCCAAATATAAAATATGTTGTCGACAGTGGTAGATGTAAAACGAGACTTTATGATAAAATAACTGGCGTTAGTTCTTATAAAGTAACATACACGAGTAAAGCTGGTGCAAATCAACGTGCAGGAAGAGCTGGACGGGTTGGTCCAGGACATTGTTACAGGTTTTGTTTAATTCTTAAAAATTGAATTTTTCCTTTATTCCTTTGTTAACCATTTTTTTTTTCGCTTCATTTTTAGATTATATTCTTCAGCAGTATTTAACAATGACTTTGAAGAATTTAGTGAACCGGAAATTTGTCGTAAACCACCAGACGATCTAATTTTACAATTAAAATCAATGCATATTGATAAAGTCATTAATTTTCCATTTCCAACGAATCCAGGGTTGGAACAATTAAAAGCCGCTGAAAGACGTCTTTGTTTTCTAGGAGCTCTGCAACGAAATTCCTTTATTGAAAATGGTGATTTTCTTTTAACATTTTAAATATGTTCATTTTTTTTAATATTAATTTTATTTTCAATTTATTTTTTTGTTTTAATTATTTAGAAACTTATTCGGCAAAAATTACAACTCTTGGAAGAAAAATAGCAACGTTTCCAGTAGCACCACGTTATGGAAAAATGTTAGTTCTCTCAAATGAAAATAATCTCTACAATTACACAATTTGTATAGTTGCTGCACTTTCAGTTCAAGAATTGTTAATAGATTCATTTGATAAAAATAGTAAACTAGCACAAATACGTCGTTTTTGGGCTGGAACAGGTGATAGTCTATTATTAGGTGAGTAATTCTAAAAAAAACATTTTTTTTATAAATAAATTTTCGTCATTAAAAATTTATTTTTTTAAGGAGATATAATGGTTCTATTAAGATCCGTTGGCGGTGCAGAACATGCATCATCCAAGGGGAAATTATCAAAATTTTGTGAAGAATTTGGTATACGTGAAAAAGCAGCAATTGAAGTTAGAAAATTACGACAACAGCTTACTAATGAAATTCTTTTAAATGAACCAAATTTGGAGCTTACTTTAGATCCTGAGTATGTTTTTATTTTTTCGATTAAGTTTCATCATTCATTTAGTAATTAAAACTATTTTGTAAATTTTTATTTACAGATTACAACCACCGAGTGAAACACAAATTAAATTACTTCGACAATTAATTCTCTCAGGAATGGTAGATCACGTGGCGAGAAAATTAACATCCGAAGAAATAAATCAAGGAGAAGATAAAAATCAATTAAAATATGCCTACAGGTAAAATATTAAAATTTCTCATTTTTTTAAGATTTTATTTAATGCTTTTTTAATTTATTTTAGAACTATAGAAATGGAGGATCCAGTTTTTATGCACTCAACGTCTGTTCTGCGAAGAGAATCTCCGGAATGGGTGATCTATCAGGAAATTTATGAAACTAATAAAATTTATATGAGAGGAGTAACTGCTATTGAACCTGAATGGTTACCAATTTATGCACCAAGTTTGTGTAATATGAGTGAACCTTTAGTTGATCCTTCTCCATGGTAAATAATTACATTTCTTCAAAATTTATAAGATTTCAATCTAAATTATATATTTAAGAATAAAGTAAAAATAATTTTTTTATTTTCAGGTATGACGAAGAAACAGGAGAAATTATGTGCTACATGAATGGAACATTTGGTCGTGGTGGCTGGGAATTACCAAGGGTAAAAATGGCATATCCAAAAAATTTAGATGGTATTAAATGGTTTGCGAGATTTCTTTTAGAAGGACAAATATTCCCAAAATTAAAACCATTTGTCAAATCGCTATTAACAACACCAAGTAGTATTAATGCTACATGGGCGAAATTATTACCTCGTATTGAATTGATGACTAAACAGCTTCTCTCAAAAGGAATAATGTCTAGGGATAAACTTAAAGAAGAATGGCTGACAAATGAAAAATGTAAGATAATTTCTTTAAAAAATTTTTCTAACTTAATTTTCTTACTAAATCGTAATTTTCTTTCAGTTTTACTGGACTCTTATCAGATGTGGTTGCCTAAATCTGGTTCCGCTCTTATCACTAAAGTCTGGCCACCTTTATAATGTAAATATTATTTATGTATATTTGTAATTTTACTAATTTTACATATATATAAACAATTTCTTTTTTAAAATTGTCATATTCGATCTTTTTATTTCACAGAAAAGAAAATTAAATTTCACAAAACTTTAAAATTGTCAATATTCGTAATTGATTACAAACACTATTAATAGACGATCAGCATTCAAATGCAATCGATTTAAATAAATATTACAGATAATAAAAATTATTTAAAAAAAAATGAAATAAGGAACACAATGGTTTTGACCTAGATTTATGTGACTTTGTCAATTTTTTTTTTCTAGGCAGTATTGAAATTGCCAACTTTCAGTATACGTTGAACTTCGTTTATAACGAAGAATATTTTTTTTCAGAATATTAATTAACGCATACTAAAAATTATTATTGGAAGATACCAATTTTGTCTACTTGACAAAAGTCACTACTTAATGTCACTATTATTTGGCGCTATTTAGTAGTTTATTCTTCTTTCAGTTCCTTTTTTCCTTTTCTTTTTGCTAGATTACTTTTACATGTCTGATACACATTATTGAGATCAAATGCTGCCTTAACATTATCCTAAAACAAAATTGAACATTAAAATTATAAATATTTATAAAAAATTTTTTGTAGTAAATTATTAAACTTACAATAGAGAATAGAAATTTGACGAGTTTCCCCTTATGATCGGCGTAAGGTCGTCTATCCACTTCTTTTCCCTCTTTAAAAAGAATTAATGTTGGCAATTGTTTACTTGTGCTAGAATCACTAATGTGATATTTTGTTGCTGCATCTGGATATCTTCCAATATCAACTTTGCCGAATTTAAAATTGTCCAAGGCAAATCTGTCAAATAAACACGTATTAATTAAGGTTCAAATTAATTAAAGGAGAAATATTTTTAATATAAAATTAAAGATAAGTTTTTCCCCTTACTCAGCAGATAATTGTGAATATATTGGTGCAAATGTGACGCAAGCAGGATTCCAAGCTGTGTAAAAAGCAACGATCCACATGACTCTAGTATCACGTTGTAATTCTTCTTGTAAACTTGTGGCACCTCTGAGATAAATTACTTTTTCAGGACCTTGATACGTTGGCTCGGGTAACAGTAAACCACATACTATAAGAAATGATAATTTTAAATAAAGTATTAAATGGAACAAAAAAAAAAAAAAATACCGGGAATAATAAATTAATACATACAAATACAAACAGCTGCAAATAAAATTCCCATTCTAATATCAGCGTAGAACCAAAGAATCATATTTGCTATTTTCGTATAGACAAAACTTGATGATAAATAATTTATCATCGTTACACTTCCAGCTTTTCGTGTTCTGATCATTATAACAATCATCAGAAAAAATAAGATTTCTGTTTCTCTCTGCAAAAAAAATTAATTTGAATAAAATATACAACTAATAATAAATACATTTTTTTTTTAATTCCAATAGTAATTCTTATTCAAGAAATATTATATATTTGTAAATAATTGAAAAATTGTGCTTGTACACTGATAATATAACCTCATTTTCAAAACTTACACTATCAAGCTCACATTCTTCTTGGCCCAAAATATGACACACTATTGGAATTCGTTTTGAAATAAGATAAGATAAACTCAAAAGAATATTCACTAAATAATAAGGTTTTGGAAGTAAAGTTAAATCTTCTTTAAATGACATTTTGCTCCAAAAATGAATGAACCAAAACTTATTGAACAATATTTCATACACACACGTAACAAACACTCCTAAAATAATTTCACTTATTAATACACCATTAATACAACAAAAGATCTATTTATTTTTGATTTTTTTATGTAGTCTTTTTTTTTTAATGAAAATTAATTAACATTTCCTGTTCAGCTGATTCTGACATTTTGAAATAGCAGACGAATTATTTTAGTTTGAAAATAATGGCGCTGTTATCAAACCCGGGAAAAATTTTATTTTTAAATGTAAGTCCAATTTTTTTATTTTTAAATATTCGATATAAAATGTACAATAGTTGTTAATTGACAACCATATTTTTCCTTATTTAAATAAAGTTTTTCTTAAATCAAAAATTAAATTTCTAATCGGTAATTTATCACAAAATTATTTTTATTATATAAAAATATAATAGAAACTAAACAAAAATTTTTAGACAATAAATAATAATATTTCTTGAGATTTTAAGTGAAAAATTGAAATCTCAATTTTTAAGGTAAATTTAAGTACGTTTTTTTCGAAAATTTGACTACTTTTGTTTAGAATTAGGACAAGGCTTTAAGGCGTACGTTCTAAATCCTTTGTGAGCATTTCTTAAATGATCCAGTAAACGTAATTTCGTGTCTTGTAAAATGTTTAACATTGCTTCTCGAGATTCGCTATTTACAGCTTCATTAAATCTTAACATAATAGACAAATCTATTTCCGGAACGTCCAAATCTTCTGCTAACGCCATAGCACCATTGACATCATTTTTCAAATCATCAAGGGTTGGTTCCTTCGTTGTTTTGCTATAAACAAATTAAATTTTCATATTATTAATAAATCCCTATTTTAATTAATTAATTTAATTCTCTATTTTAATTACTTCACGGAAAACCGTAAAATATTTATAATTTTACTTATTTAGGTATTAATTTATTATAATTACAAATATTTTTCTTCTTTATCTGCAATTTTTGTGCAAATTTCATATAATTCCAAACATTCCAAATCATCATTGCGATGAGACAAATTTAAATATTTTCTAAACACATCTCTTCCTTTTGGATGTTGCAGTGTTTGATTAATATTATCTGTAATTTGATCTAATTCCTCTAATGTCAGACCAGATGTACATTTTCCAATGCAACCAATAATTTTCGTAGTCATATTTAACATTATTATAGGCACAATCAATAAATTTATATTCAGGATAATGGACAGTCGTTGAAATTTTTTTCATTTCAAATAATTCTGCAAAAATTAAATTAATTATTATAAAATTTAACAAAAATATAATAAAATTAGAGAATAAAAAAAGAATTTACAATATAAACAATTTTTTATTATATTAATAATTAAAAACATACCTGAATTTTCTATTTACTTGTACTCATTCTTTTATAAAATTATCTTTGAAGTAAACAGCTGATATTGATTCGCTTAGCTTCCATCAACAATTAATTCAACTTGAATTTATGTGAAAAAAAATTATTATACACAATTTAGTGAATTTTTTTTGAAATAATTTCCCTGGAATAAAATTCACAGAAAGAAAGACATTTTACCATAAAAGAATTTTTGTCTCTCTAACTATAAAAGACAAAAATAGTATTACTGCGTTTGCGTATAAAAATTCTGTAGACCCCAAGTGAGCAGATGTTCGAGAAGCCCGCCTCCTAGGGTTATCAATTTTATTTCAAGAAGCCAAGCATAACGACGATGAAAAAAGTGTTTCGCAATATCTAAAATAAATAAAAAAGAAATTATTGATAGGAAATTTTTTTTTATTGATTTTATATTATTATAATTATATTATAATTAAACTAAAATTGAAATCAAATTTTTATTTACAATAAATATGAAATGAAATTCTCTATTTCGTTTAAAACGAATTTATACACATTTAATATATTTAATTTAGTAGAATTTATTTTTTATACATACCTTATATTTATTAAAGTTATTTTCAAAAATATTAATTTTCCATATAAATCTCTTATAACTCATATTTTTTATATAATTTATTATATAATTGTTGTTTTAATTGAAACGATATAGCTTTTAATTTTCAAAAAGTTGCGCCATGTGAATCGACTGAAGTTAGCACCGTAAGCTGACTGCGCACTTTACTCTTGTAGCATCAGCGCACGCGTCGAAAGGATCAGACTTGTTTCGCCGACACTAAAATCTTCTTACATCGTGTAAATTTTTTAAAATTACAAGCAAATCGTAATTATAAACATTAGTTATTCTTTCAATAAGTATTTTTTGATAAAATTTCGACTTATAATATTGATTTCAAGTTATATTTTGAGAGTTTTGTTAACTTAACCTATAAAATCAGTCTCGTTGAGATAGACAAAATCGAAGCAATTTTTTCAGTTTTCTCCCACTATTAATCATAAATATATACTCCTTGTTCTAATTATAATTGTTTTCTATCAATTTTTGTTCTGATTCACTTTATATTGCAATATTTGATTTCACTTTACAAAATACTTTATTGACAGTGTTGCCAAATTTCACTTGTTTCAGATAGCAACCAACGATCATCACGTCGTTGTCAAATCTTTTGCAGGACCAAAATTATAGGTAATTATCGTAATTATTAATAATTAAATAACCAATATAATATTATTTTCAGATTATATTACTTTTTATAATAAAATATTCATTACAATTTTTTTTATTTGAAATAATTTAGTGTTCTAAAAAATGTTGCGCCACTTTTTTTTAAAAAAATCGACACTAGCGCCGGAATTGACTATTTTTCATATGGAAACTCTAGGAACTATAGTTATTTCAAAATTGTTCGTTATATTTTAATTGTTAAAAATTTTTCTCATCGGGCGGTTGTTAGTAATTATTAATTCATTATAAAATCGGTCTAAAACGTGAAAAAAACTTCAAATCGTATCAAAATTATTGTTTATAATCCCCCAAGTATAAGATTTTACAAAAATTTACAGTGATAGTGCAAAATTAAACTCGGATTTCGTTTTAAATTGTTAACCTTAAATTAGAATTTTTTTTTATAAAAATCCTTGAAGTGCATGAAATATTTTAAAATGAAATCGTTCGAACTTATTTAAGGATTAGGTAAATATGATCAACAATTATATTAATTAGGTATTATATTTAATTGATGAATATTTATATTGTATTAATTATATTAATGGTTTTATTCATGAATAATAGTGAACATTAAGGATGATCGATTAAAAGTTTTTGTCGTTCTTTATAAATTAAATTAATTATAAAAATATTTTAACTAATAAAGTTGATTAAAAGAAAATAATAATTAAATTGTAAATTATTTTGGAAACAGTAAAATTACAGTTTTTTTTTTTTGAACAATGTAGTAAAGTTAACACATTGTAGAATTAATTTCTACTTTCTCCCTCACTTTTTTATTATATTTTATTTATTAATTATTTTTAGAATTTTCTATTAATTTAATTAAAATATAATGAAATTCAATTTTGCTTGCAGATAATTAATTAATATGAATCAGTGAGAAGATATTTAGTTATTGAAGAGAAAAAAATGTTGAAATCTGAAGCTATCATTGGTTCATCAAGTTCTTCTAAAGAGTGAGTAAATTTTTTTTTATTGAATTTTTGGAAATAACTTCATTGCTGCTGATCAAATCGTACAAAATTTAATTTTTATATATTAAATGAGTCAAATTTTTTATAAATAAGTTATTAAAAAATTATTATAAATAATAATTAAAAAAAAATTAATTAATTAATAAAAAATGCGAAAATATGGCGCTATTAAAGGTTAAATATTTTTTAATCTACGATTATAGTCTAAGACTACGTGAAATAATTCAAAAAAAAAAAAAATAATTTAAAATGAAATTAGGGAAAATAAGATTTCGAAAATTTTTACTTGAATTTACATTTATTTGTCATCTCTAATACATTATAATAATAAATATGATTGTGTGCAATACATAAAGTGGTGTATGTACACAGGCATTCTGCTTTCGAGGCCATAATTTTACGTATTTTTATCGTCTTCGAAATTCTAAAATTCAAACAATTTTATCTTGATAAATTTTTACATTCTATACATTTTTCGTCTGTTTCTAAAATTTTCATTTTTTTTTTTTTGTCTAAATACCATTTCGCGTGCATTCTAAATTGCATCCAGTCTTTTAAAAAAATCTCGATTCTTATCCAAGTAGTTTGTCATTATTATATATGTATTTAGAACTCTACCGATTTCTTATAGACTTCAATAATAATAATTGTTCATCAACATACATGACGTATATTATTAGTGAGATCAGTAAATTAACGTTACATTTATACAAAGTCGAATCGTGTAGGTTACTTATTCTAAAATTCTACATATACACTTCTATGCGTCATAATATTTGGTATTATTTGTTAACATAAATGTTTCATGCTTGTATCGCAGATTCTTTTCTTTTTTTTTTTTATAATTATTATTTTCTCCGCTTCTTTATTCCGGATAATTTGATTTCGCTCAAATAAAATGAGAAAAATTTATTTATTGACTTTCGCTTTTTGTCGAGAAATTCACGCCAACCGCGACGTCGATTTGAAATTCTTCCGCAGTTGACTATCTGCTGAAATTAGTAAAATGAATTAAAATTTCTCAATGGAAAAAAAAAATTCTTGATTGACTTTTATAATTGAAAAATAATTACCTGATCCTATAGAGGGGTTTCTTTTCTTGCTTCAGCTTTCCATTGAAATCCATTGACACGTGTTGTTATCGGTTTGTTTCGATTTGTTGCATTTTCAATTCCATTTCTAACTCCTGCTACTAATCTCATGGCTGGATTTGAAACTAAACCGTTTCGCTTTGGTTTCGCGTTACTAGCACTGTAATAAATATATATTTTTTTCAAATCCACTTTTAATAGAATCAGATTTTTAATAAATTTATTTTTATTTTTATTCCCAAGTTTGAAATAAAATTTTAGATAATTTTAGTTTGAAAATTACCTTCCAGAAATATGTTCCGGTGTATGTTTGACATTCCGACCAACGCCAGCTCCACTATTACCTAAAATAATTCTCATATGTGTGTCACGTGTGAAATGAGTGTCCGCCGAATTCCTTTTGTCATCGTGTCCATTTTTCTTTTCTTTTCCAATTCCAAGACCCAGCATTTCATTAGTTAGTTCAAAAGCTTTTGTCGCATCATTTCTTTCAATTATTTCGGTTTTGATGTTTATGGGCTCATAAATCGCTGAAGTGTGATTATATCCACCGCCTTGAATTTTATACTGAATACTTTGATTCCCAGTTAAAAGAGAAACACCAAGTTGACTTTGTATAACACTCGCGGCAGTCTGTGCACTAGGTGGACTTGTATTTGTCGGTGAATACGGAATAAGGCTATCGCTTACAGGCGAATGTGGAGGTGATGCATAGATGGGACTTTGTGGCTCGCTCTTTAATGGCGAGAGCAATTTACTTAAAGGACGACTTTTTACTCCTCTTGAACATTGTTGCAATTGTTGCGTAAATGAAAGTGGTGTCTGAAATTTTTTTAAAAAAATTAATTTTACATTTAAAAATTTTATTTCTTAAATTCTTAAATAACAATCTCACCTTTATTACTTGATTAACCATGGGATTTGGTCCGAATTTTCCCTGGTCGCTTTTTGTGCTTCCAGTTAAGTTACTGCTGGATTTACTATTGCTAGAATTATTGCCCAAGGAAACGCAGCTTCTTCTTTTTGTTGAATCCGGAGATTCTGCGGGACTGTATTGTGTCGAGAGGGGATTTAAAATGGCTGAAGAGGGTTTTGTCTCGGCTGTTGAATTCGATGTAACGGACGTTGCACTACTACTTCCACCTAGAATTAAATAAATACAAAAATTTTGAAATATTTTTCCAAAATAAAATTTAATAATTATTTTTCAATAAAATTTAAATACCTCCATTAATACCAGGCCTTAAAATTCGTTGATTCGCTGAATGTTCTTCAAGTAATCTTACAACCGTATCGTGTCCACTTTTGGCAGCAACTTTAATAGCATTTCTACCGCAATGATCGGAATGATTTGGATCAGCTCCATGATTTAATAAAGCTCTCACGCAATGTTCATGTCCCTCTTGTGCTGCTATACCTATATTCAAAATTCCATTATTATAATTGTAAAAAAAAATTTTTAATTTATCAATCTTAATATACCTAAAGCAGTTGCGCCTTGATTGCAAGTATGATCTGGTGTTGCATTACTTTCCAAGAGTAATCTGACAATTGCTGCATGTCCTTGCCAAGCTGCTGAATGAAGTGGTGTCCTATTTTCATTGTCACAAGCGTTAACACCCGCGGAGCCTTCGGTCAATAAAAGAGCGACCATTTCCACATGGCCTTGCCAAGCGCTTACATGAAGTGGAGTTCTTCCCTGTAATAGTCAATCTCTTTAAATAGCCCATTCTTTAGACATTTGAAATTCTAATTTTCTCAAATAGTCAATTTCAAAATTTCCATTTTCTTTTTTTTGTATATTTAAAAAAAAATAAAGAAAATTGAACTACCTCTGAATCCCTACTTTCCACATCGGCTCGTGCATGTTCAAGTAAAAATCTAGCCATTGCCAATCTATTTTCCAACGCGAGGATATAAAGTGTACTTCTTCCATCGGCATCTTTAGCATTAATATCAGCATTATGTGATAAAAGAACCTTAACTGTATCATAATGCCCCTCTAAAGCTGCCAGTCTAGGAAAAAAAAAATTAAACGTTTTAATTTTTTTTTACAACAGAAAATATTTTATTTCGAGAAAAAGAGAGAGTTTACTGATTTTACCTTAACGCGGTCTTTCCGTCGTGCGCGTGCTGATCGATGGGTGCTCCGTGCTGTTCCAATAGTCTTTCCACTAAAGCCGTGTGTCCTTCTTGCGCAGCAAGCATGAGTGCACCCTTTCCATCGTTGTCCGCTTCATCTACCTTAGCTCCCGCCTCCAGCAAAGCGTCGCAAACGTCTACGTGACCTTCAAATGCAGCATAATGCAGCGGTGTCCAACCAGAATTATCTCTATGCTGTTCATCTAAACCTAAAAAATTGAAATCAATAATTTTATTATCTTCCAAATAAACTAGTCTTCAATTTGAAAATTGAAAAAAAAATCGTATAGAACAATTGTGTGAATCTTGATAATGGAATGAATATTCCTTTCGACCTAGTTTTCATGAAAACTATTTGCAAGTGTAACGTGGGTATATGTTGGAAAATAATAAAGGAAGGAAAATGTATGAGTATACTATATATATATATGTACCTCTGTCAAGAAGCTGTTTGACGACATCGGTGCCACCTTGTGCGGCAGCAACGCTGAGAACAGTTCTGCCCTCGTTATCTATGCTGTCGACGTAGCAGCCCCAGAACAATAGAAGCGCAACAACGGATCCATGTCCCATACTCGCAGCAGCCCACAATGGTGTTCGTCCTGTAGCGTCGCAATGATCCACATCTGCCTCATACTCTAACAGCAATTCGCAAACGTCTCTGTGACCCTCGAATGCTGCGACCAATAACGGAGTCATTCCATCCTTGTCCTGATGGTCGACGGCCGCCCCTCTTTCCAAAAGAATCGTAACCACCTAGAATCAAAAAAAAAAAAAATTAAAATTCCACTCCATACTCTTGATATCGTTCAGAGAATTTTAAACGCGGAACACTCTTCTTTAATGATCGCTTTGTTCATTTGTCAGGTTTAGAGACAAAATATATTGCTCTCAGAAGTACTTTAATAATTTACCAAGAAAAAGATCTTGAAAAAATTTATTATTTTCTAAAATTTTTCTTTTATAAAAAATTTAAAAGATAATTGGTTTTTAGATATTTATAAATCGATAATTAGAGGTTTTTTTTTAATAAGCGTATGAATTTGAGATTTATAATTTATTTGATTCAAATAATCGGTATCAAATAAATATATTTGTATCAATTATTGAGTCAATTAAATAATATTTGTTTGAAATACAAAATTTAATTCAAATAAAAATTATTTAATTCTAAATATTTATTTGATGATAATAATAATTTGAAATGAAATAAAATTTTTTTTTCTCAATGTATATGATAAATCAGCTTACTTTAGCGTATCCATGATTAGAGGGAACGCATAAAGCCGCGACACTGAGTGCTGTTCTTCCATCGCTGTCGGCATGATCGATTTTTGCTCCAAAGTCAAGAAGATGTTCTACGATCTCACTATGACCCATGTAAGCTGCTGCGATCAAAGCTGTTCTTCCTTCGTCGTCAGTTCTGTTAACGTCAGCTCCATGCTGTAAGAGTGCTTTCACGATATCTTCATGTCCTCCCCAAGCTGCTGCTCTTAAAGCCGTACGTTGATCCCAATCCGCACAGTCAACTTTTGCCCCATGTTCCAAAAGCTGCTCAACCACCTATTATAATATAATGTGACGATATTAAAATTTCATTCTTCTCAATTTTTTTTTCGTTAGATTTGTAAATTTTTTTTTTTACAATTTTTGAAGAAAAAAAATACCTGCGTGTGTCCACCCCAAGCAGCGGCTCTCAATGCTGTCCATCCATCGCAATCAGCATGATCGGCAGAAGCTCCAGCTGCTAAAAGAACTCTCACAACATCCGAATAGCCATGTCTTGCGGCTAGATTTAAAGGTGTTTGTCCATGTCGATCGGTAGCTTCCAACTTGGCCTATTTTAATCAAATTTTTAGCATTTAAATCGAATTTTTTTTTGGAAGCCATAATCGAAATTGAGAAAAACTTGATTCTTTACCTGAGGACAAGCAGCTAAGGCCAATTCCATCAGTGATGCATTTCCATCAGCGGCGAGCGTATGTAAAACAGTTCGTCCACACGAATCTGCTTGATTGATGTCTCCACTTTCTCCGAGTAGTTCCGTCAAGGGTTCGCCAGGAGATTCGTTCATGGGGCTCACATCCTGTGATGCCTTTTTTTCCAAAAAAGAAAAGAAAAACGATTTATCTTTTTTTTTGTACTCGTCAAAACGAAACTCCAAGCGATTAGAGAAAAAGAATTTTTTTTTCTTTAAAATAATATATAATAGGAAATTTTAAATCATCTCTCAAAGGAGACACTATGTCTACTGAGCTTTTGAATATATTTTCGATTAATTTCTTTGTTTCATGCGAATTTGATAGATAAACTTCCACAATTTACAATCAACACTGTACATTGTTCGACTAAACTAACTTTTAATAAATTATCTTATCATTATTGTTGCGGGGAAGAATAATGTGTCAGACAATTTTCTCGATTAATAAAGACATACAAGTTTGTAAATTCTATGCAAATAAGAAATATTTGCTTTAATTTATAATGAATGACGAAATAATAAAACAGTTTTTACTAGATTTTTGTTAATAATCACCTGACTAGAATCAACGACTTCTTTACTGGCTTCATCTTCAACTGCTTTCTCAGAGGGTTTAGCTCCTGAATCTATTAAAAGTCTAAGTAGTTTTGTATCTTGTCTGGGCCAAAGTATACAATCCGAACTGTCGAGATAGCATTCTTGAATTGTTGCACCGCTTCCAATCATCCAAAGAACTTGAAGAGTGTGAATATCAAGGGAACAATTTGAATTTCCAACTGTGGACATTGCACGCTGAAGATGTTGTCCCAGAACACAAATTTCATCAGCACTTAACTGACGTGCTCGTAAAGTGTAATAAACAGTGAGCATGGCATGACCTTCTGTTGCTGAACAGAGATACTTTTGCGTGCAATGTTTCACGTCAAGAAGCCACTCGGCAAAACTATGATGGAACAGCATCAGTGCTCCAGCTCTTGAAACTGATATGACCTGTGGAAAACAAAAAAAATTATTGAATTATTTATAGTGCCTTTCTTCAAATTTTAGTATTTTATTTTTATTATTAACTCACCCTTCTCAGTAGATGTAATCTTCGATTAAAATCCTCCTGTGTAATACTGATGTTAGCGGTTTTAACACATTCGAAAAGTGTTTCCTGAGTGATTGGCAACTTGGCGGCCAATATAACATTAAGCAAAGGTTGCACTTTGGCAAATTGCTTCCTACTAAACAGTCTTTGACATAACCACAAATAGAGTCCATTTAAGGTACCAGGAATTTCTCTTACTTCCCGTAATACAATAAAATTCTCCGACACACCATCAAGGACTTTTTCCAAATACAAAAAACAACCATTACTCTTAATATGTAATTGATTAAGCATTTCAGCAGTGTCTCTTGATATATGTTGTCTTAGCGTATCTTCCTGATCGAGTCTTGCCAAAATATATTGTTGTACATCGCGTACAACTTGGGATTTTCTTAAATCGTCAAGTGATATTTTTCTAAATCCAGTGAACATTCGTGAAATTGTTTTACTTTGCCTTCGTGCAGTGCAAACCAATAGAAGCCACTGTGGAAATAAATGATGATGATTCGCCAAAAGTTCAGCAATTGTTTTACTAACACCATCATTTTCTCTTCTTGAATCTCTTGTTCCCGATTGTAGTGGACTTAAAACTTGACCTTCATCTATTGAATCAACAAGAAGAAAGAGACAATTTTTTGGTGGTTCAACTTCAAGTAGAGGAAAGAGAAGTGCTTTTTTTAGCGCATCATCAGGATCTCTATCAACAACATCTGGTTGTAATGCTGCTTGAATTTCAGGATCTGTTCTTAATTTCTCGGCGTATGCCTCAACAACAGACTCCCTCCACGATAGGGGTGTTGATGATGTTGTTGTTGTTGTACTATGTGTTGGTGAATTTGGTGAAGATAAATGAATACCTTCGGTACTTGCTTGTAAAAGTTGTGCCACCATTGATCTGACAAATTGTGCCGGTGAAAGGGATACTGCACTTCTTGCTTGACAAAAATGCCTTGCCAATAATCGTCTATTTAATGACCTTTGATGACGTCCACTTGCTCCCTGTGAAGGCCATGCTAATTCAGCACAGAGTGCCGTTTTTCCACTTCCTGGACCACCGACAATTAAAGCTCCACATGTTTTTGATGCGGGCCTTTGCTCTAAACAATGTGAGAGTTTTGTAAAGGCCCACTCCCTACAGAAAAATCGTTTCTTCTCTATCACAGGCGCTGCCATTTTTTTTTTTTTTTTTAAATTATTAGTCTCAAATCCTCAAAATCTTCCGATCCGATCTTCCTTATATTGTGATTCGTTGGTTATGAAATTTTTTTAGGCGATAAAGTTAGGTTTTCTTGATTAAAAAAAGCTGACTAAAAATCGTTTGAAACGATTTTACGAACCGTTAGCAAAGATATGTCGATCGGAGCCCCGGGGGGCTCTGCAACTTCCTCGGCCTCCATTCAGGCCTTTCATCTCCTCGTTGCGGCCAACCTGTGAGATTCGTTCCCTGGATACATCCTGAAAATAGAAAAAAATCAATGCTGCTTTAGTATATATGGCCACATTTCCTTAGGGAGATAATTGTATTGCAGAAAAATAGTACATTTTTCCTAAACAGTCCACAAGGATAAGGAACTCGTCTGCAAGTTTTATTTTCTATTTAGGGAATTACAAAATAAATTTTATATTTATACTCTATAAAAATTGAGAAAATTATAATTATTTCTGGAATTCAAAAATAAATATAATAATTTATAAAAGAAATTGCAAAAAGAACCGTTTTATCAGGATAGTAATTAAGAAATATATTTAGAAATAAGTGTAGCAATAATTTGTCTTTTCATGAGATCAACATTTTTCTATAAAAGATTCTCTGGTTATTTATATATATAAATATAATCAAACGGTGCTGCCATGTAAAGTGTTATTATTTCCGCGAATATTAATCACTAACTTTATCACTCCAGGGAAGTAAAATTAGTGATCTAGGTTATGATTATTCTAAATCAGATTCAATTTTCTCAAAATCGTTAAAATTATAATTTCTGATATAAAAATTATCATTTTAGTTATAATAATTTTTCTAGAAATTAATTTTTAAATTCTCATACATTTTCTATAACAATGAAATAAGAATACAAAATTTTGTAATTTAATACAATATATTGGGTTATGGGAATAATTCAACTGCATTTCGCACGTGCGAATCAAATGGAAGTAATAATAATTGTCTACGACTGCGGGAGAAATTACGAGGAGTCATTACGCGAACGCGAGAATATAATGATAAACCAGTTCCACTAATAAGGGAGATGCTGTGGAGATAACACACTGAGACATTATCTACTCGTAATCCCCTAGTCCCGTAAGATTTCACGATGATCCCTTTTATATGTTTAAAAATCTCTCATTATAAAAGCGTCTGAGATAAAAGGAATTCTAAACCCGCGTTTCAAGAAATTTTTTTTTTTTTTTTTTTTTTAACGGATTCGTTAAGCGCGCCCCCGTCGCAGATGAAGAATAGAATGCAATGCACAAAGTTCATTTTTTTCATTTCTCCGTTAAAATTTCGTCAGGAACAGAGTTTAAAGGACTCTATAAAGCTTTTATTATTATTATTTTTATTATTTTATTACTGTAATTAAAATAAATTTTTGCATCATTGGAGCGCGACATATTTTCACAGAAAATTAAAAGGCATTAAAATAAGCTGTAACGCTTCTTATTTTAATCCAATTTTGCTTATTTTAATACCAAAATGGATTAAAATAAGCAAAATTGGATTAAAATAAGAAGCGTTACAGCTTATTTTAATGCCTTTTAATTTTCTGTGTTTATATATTTAAAATTCGGTTACAATTTTGATCATCAGTGAGGATTCTGTTTAAAATTTTTATTTATATGATTCACACAAATTATGAATGAAAAAAAATTTTTTTTTTTGATAAGAGATATAAAAATAAATAACAATACAAAATTTGCAATCGTTTTATTATACAGTTAGATCGATAATAATAATCATTAATTGCAATGGTAATTAGCGTTTAGCTAGTATCTAGACAGTTATCAGTTTCAAGCATGATTTACTAGTATAATAATTATCACTCGTGCACTGAATTACGTCACTTACTATATAGATAATATTAACTCTATCTTCAATTTTGTTATTGGGTTGTTGAACTTATAATATATAAATATATATATATATATTTATTGGGGAGAGATAAAATTTAAAAGGACTGAATAATCAATAAGTGCGCGCGATTCGGACTTTTCTATATAACAATAGATATATAATTTTTGCTTTAAATTAAAATATAAAATAATAATAATATTCCTGTGGGAGAAAATTGGAAAATTGTTAAAATTATATATGCATTCACCTGTGAGTGAAATGTGAAAGTGTATGAACAGAAAATACAGAGACGAATAGTAATTATCGTAAAAACAGGCGCATTTCTACTTGGTTTTTTCCTCTCGCGAATTAAGGTCGTTGTCGGCGACCAATTAAAGCAATTTGTTAGTAATTATATGACAACTACTCCAATATTTTACGAGTTGAATTATTTTTTTTTTTTCTATTTTATTTAAAACTGTGTTTTAATAAACTATATAAGAGATGAAATCTTCGTCGCGCTCGCATTTATGGGAAAGGGAAGATCGGATCGATTGACAGTAGAATAGACGAATAAGATAGACCAAGGAGGTCAAACTGTGAAGTTCGTGACAGTAAAGGAGATTCATCAGCGATTGGTGAGGCAAGCAAAAGTTTCTTCGCGATATGTACCTAACTATATATATATATAAAGGAACTAGGCGAAATGATCAGAATATGAACACACAGTTGTCCTAAAATGAAAGCATTATAACAATAGAGAGTCTCAAATTTCTCGAGTGAATCAGGTCTTGCAAGTTATTCATCCTCTCCATCATCATTATATATCTTCTTCTTTTTCTTATTTCTTCTTCGCATCATAAAACCCCTCATTCCATTTGGATAGAAATTCATCTATGAAAAAGAATTCATTTTTTCTCTTTTGAATACTGATAAGATATTATAGAAAATAGCTTTTTCGAATATTTTTCAATAAACAAGTTATAATTAATAATATATTTCAATTTTATTAATTTGAAATAAAAAACTGAATCAAAGAAAAATCAAGTTTCGGAGATTGAATCATTTTTCAGTTCGTTAGTTTTTCACCGTTGAATTCGACGTTGAAAAAAAGGTCCAGTGTATAATTGAGATTCATTTAGTTATGCAGTGATTAATTTGTTGAAAAAGCGATACTAGTAAAATATGTTAGGAAAATTGAGTTTCCATTTTATTAAAAAAAAAACAAAATATTTATTCAATAGGTATTTTTTATTTTGTTTTTTTATTCTTATTTCGATAAAAAGAAAAAAAAATGTGGTGGTACATCCGTTGACTCTTAGGAAATAAATTCTTGCTTTAATGTGAAAATCTTTTTGTCTTTTGTTGAAGAAAGGGGTTTTAGGCAAGAAGCAGTAAACTTTCTTGAAGGGGAGAAACGTTCTTGGAAAGTCAGATGCTCCTGGCAATAGTTCATTAATCACTGTAATGCAGACGCATTCACTGTTCTTGATGTGCGACAGCTTCAGTCTCTCTCTCTCTCTATATATATATATTAAAATGCAACATGTCAAGATATCAAATTCTATATTATAGTAGTAGTTGAACTGAAAAACAGACGTCAAATATTTACATAAACTAACATGAGAATGTTCTAGCTTTTACACATCGCACATATTTTCTGTTTCTAATATACACAACCATTAGAATTTCCAAACAGACAACATTTTCTATATCTGTCAATTGACACTTTGACGTTTTTTTAAAAAAATAATTTAAAATATTTTTAATATTTATTCGGAAATATTTTGGTAAATTACACTAAAATTTAGATTGATTGAAAAAAATTTAAAACTTCTTCCAGGGATGTTTAAAGGTAGAAAACAAAACCAATTGATAAAAGCGATATTTGAAAAATTATAAATGTATCCACTTGATATAACTTCCACTTATAAAATTCTTTGTTTAATTAAATAAGAAATCGTTTTTCCGCGAGTAAAATTGATATTGAGCAGAAAATTATGATGTCTAACCGATTGAAACAATTAAGATTTTACAAAAGAACCTCTTTATATATAGCTTGTACCGTGCGAACAAAGTGTCAAAGGCAGAATGGTTTGTCGTCGTTGTCGTCGTCATTTTCCAATTACAAACTTCAATTTCTTTGGCCTTTGTCAGTGTGTATATATATTGAAGGGCGATTTAAATTTAAATAGAAACAAAAAAGAATAATAGAAGCAAGAAAAAAATATAGAAATAGAATTATTAAAGTAAATAGAAACCAAAAAGAATAAATTTATTCAAAGGTTGAAACTGCATTTTGAAAAAAAATATTTTCTATTTTTTTTTTGTTTTGTAACCGTATTTCTTGTTTTTAGAGGTTCTTGAATTAGTTTACTATATTTGAAAGTTGTTTTCAAAAAGAATTATATTTTTATAAATGTTACAAGACCATGAACAAGTTTATATTTTTTTTTAGAGATTGAAGATTATTTTTCAGAGATCGAATCTTTTTGAAAGTTATGATAGAGAAATAAAGTAAAAATACATTGAATCTAAGTTAATATAATGTTTTCTCTGACATGGATTATGGTTTTGTATATAAGTAAAGTTGCGTCTTAAGTCAGGAGTAAATTGCTCGTATCGCTATTAACCCCTGTATGACCTTCCATATAACTTGAGGGGTGGCATTCCACATGCTTGTAAATTTTTATTTGTTGCCTCTGCCTCTGCTTCTGGCGTTTCAGTCAGTAATTGTAACATTGTGTTAATAGGTAATAACAGTAATGATAAATTTCTACCCTTTACACGTGTGACGTGTATATATATTAAAATCCTAAAAGTTTTGAAATCGAGAATTTATTTTAACTACCTTAGTTTAAAATGTATAGAATTTAAAATTATATAAAATTTTTTACATGAATTAATTTTACTTAATTTTTATTTCCAGGTGTAATATGCGAGAAAAGATGGACCAAAAATTTCATCGAAATAGAAGCTACGGAAGTTAAGTTTGCGTCTAGAAGAATATCGAACCAACGAATTGGAAAATTATGTAAGTTTTTTTCAAACACTTTCTGTTTTGGTATACAATTTTATGAAAAATTAAAAGTTTAATGCAATTATCCAAAAGGGATTTTGAATAAAAAAATAAAATATTAAACAAGTCCATAAACATATTGGCAAATTTTTATTACTTGGCATCATGATGTCAATAATAATAAAACTAGGATTGTGGCAAATAGCACTTATAATACGGCCTTTTATTATCAATAAAATATTCCTTCAATATAATCGTGAAAAAATTTTTTGAAGAAGATAAAATTGACTATAACGGAAAATGCCTGGGAGTAAATAAAATTATAGATTTTTTTTTTTAATGATATCCTTCGGTGCTAATATTATTATAATAATAGGGATAGCTAGAAATCTTTTTATTGCAATAAAAAAAAGATGGTGGCGCGATCAAAACCTCGTGTTGGATAAATGCATTAAACTTGCTGCCTCACGGTATACTCATTAGTAGCGAGATCTCTCTATATAACTATATATATATATAGTAAATTCAATTATGGTAATAATTATACGTGATTAAATCGACAAAATTTTGTTACGATCTTTATACTGATTAACTCAAAATTTTATACATTTTATATGATCGTTAGATATAAAATTTTGTTACAAAAATTATTCCTTATTGATTTTTCAATAGTGACCACACAATAAATTTTAATTTGAACCTTTTATGTAGAGTAAAATTTTTTTATAAAAAAATTTGATTAAATTTTCCTTTAAATTGCGGAGAAAATACTTTTTGGCATAATATGTCTTTTTGGTCTCTCGGGTTTGTAACATCGTAACCTATTTGGCTCTTTCTGGGGCATCGTAATATTATATAAAGAGCAATAAATTTTAGGAACAGAGGCCTAATAAAAAAAAAATAAATTCTTAATATAAAAAGCTTGTTGATTTAAATTAAGTTTCAATTTAGTGATAATACACAAGTAAAATTAATAAAAATTTTATTTGGCTTTAAAAATATTTGAATTTCGCAATTGTGTATATATGGAATCTGCAACAATTTTGATCTGTTAATTTTATATCCAATTTTTATATTGGTAGTTCAATATTGTATTTCTAAAAATAAATTCATTGAATGTGTTTTATAGAGAAGAATGCATAAATAAAAGTCTTAAAGTGGCCATTTGCCAGTGTTGTTAAAAGTTTAGAGTGTCGCGAGTGGCATTTTGAGTATGTTGAGGATTATAATGGAAAAGTTCATTTGGTTAGCCGTTGTTTTTTTTTTTTTTGGCCAGAACCTTTCAATCTATCGATAGAGACGCAGAATTTTCGAATTATATTTATATTGCAACAGAGTGGAGAATCAGAGCGTTTCATATATGGGGTTATATAGAGACGCCGATAAAGTCGAAAGGTCGCGCACGTGTCTTCTCATCGTGAAAGGAGTTGTAATCCACACCGATGTGATGTACTAACAACATATAAGTATGATTACAGTACCGAGGCGTTATAAGGATAAAATAGAGTTACGAAATCGGAAATCCAGGAATACAGAAATAGAATTTTTTTTTGTTCCGCAGTGCGCAGCCTTAAAAGCTTGTCGATCAATTTAATTGAAAAAAAAGAGAGGATAATTATTGGCTCAGCTTTGAGAGAGTGTGTGATATAGAAAATTGCTGTAGGGAAAATTTTCTGGGTGAATTTTTTATTCTTCCTATATAGTTAAAAGAAAAATTATTTAAATAGAATTATTTTATTATATATTGTAAAATTAATTAATGAAAATAATTTCTTTTGACTTCTTCGTTTTTTAATTACGTTCTAGTCTCTTTTTTTGCATCAATGAATTCATAATCGTTTTCACTATCATCATCGTGAGTTGTTGATTTATTTGTCTTGAATTTAATTTCTCCTTAAGAGAAAAACTATTAGAGCTGAAGAGAAACGTAATAGCTAGTTTTATTTGAAGTAAATTACAAAATGACGTGGACAAGGACATTTTACAAAAAAAAAACGGAAATTGAAAGGTTTTATTTTGCTTTGCCCCTGAATATATTTTAGGATTTTTCAAGGATTTTTTTTTTCTTAATTACAAAACCAATAATGTGAGAAAATGAAAAAAAATCTTTCTGCTTGACTTGATTCTATATAAAAAAAAAAATCAATTCTAGACTTGATATTTTGAAAAAATTTCTTTCGTATAGGAATTCAGGGCAATTATGGGGTTCCTAAGGTTAAAAAAGTATTTTATGGAATATCTTAATTAATGACTAGTGATGAGTCATATTCACTTGACTGAGTCAATGAAACACTTGGGTAATTCTTGTCAATAAAAGTGAGGCACGAGATGCATTAAATTAAAACATTTTCTAAATATTTAAAAAAAAAATTAAAATAATTATTTATATTTGCATAAATATGGATGAAAAAAATAGTGCAACTTAAATTAAAAAAAAAAGGTGGAATCATCAAAAACGAAATAAAAACCAATAAAAGAAATGACTCTTTTCGCGTACTGGAAATAAAGAACGTTAGCGATAGGTTCGACAATGTTTTACATCACAGGGGAGAAGAATCAGAATTCTGAGAGATATGCCACTGGTGAAAAGTTTTCACTATATAACGTAACAGAAAGCAGAGAATACGTTTGACACCTGTTACCTGCAGGCTATCTTGGTCTTACCAGGAGCGAAATATATTATAGGGCAACTTCCCGAGGCTTTCACTTTATTGCTTTAATATAAAACTTCCCTCTTATATCTCTCCACTCTTCAAAGAGGGAGAAAAATGTTATAAAAATCTCCCTTCAAAAGTAACGAGGCTTTCCTTCAAAAAAAAGAAAAGAAGTAGGTATCTCGATTCTAGACGAAAAAATCTCTGTTTATTTGACTCGGCGAAATTTTTAAATTTTTCTATCTTATTACATCTATCTCTTGAGGAAAAACAAAAATTCTGTATTGCAAATAAACCTCAAAATTAGTTTGATGAGATTTGTCAATAGCAGAGACGCATATAAGATTATTGATTGCTACTGTCAATTGGTTACAATGTTACTTACACCTGACCTGATAACAGGGACAAAGCACATAAAGTGCAGTGAACAATGATATGATTCTGAATGTGAATAATTGATCAGAATGACCAATATAGAATATAATACCGTTTGCCTACATTGGGTTTACCCCACCGAATCCTGTCAAATTTGCATTTATCTCGAATATTACCAAAATTCAAAGAGGTTGTATAATCCGTTCAAATCATAAAAGCATAAGTGGTTATATTCTCAGTTCTAGAGATTAAAATTAATTTTTAAAGTTCAGTGATAAAAATAATTTTTTTATAATATATTTATTTTTAATTAAAATAATAAAAAATTGTTGCAAATGTTAAAAGAACAATAGAGAAACATTGTTGAATAAAGCCATGTTTTTTGTGCGGGAGGAAAAAAACTCTTTATCAGTTTAGATATTAATGTATTAGCCTTTGGCTGAGGTATTTTACAAAAGGGAATAAAAAAGATCCTTTTACGTGTGCGCCACGAAGAAAATGTTTTTTGTCCTTTATATATAAGAGAACAAAGTCTTAGGTGACCGCAGTTATGTTCCTCTTCCCCTAAGTATAATAATGAAAAAGCTTCAATGGCCTCTATATGAAGAGAGCTTATTTTTTTTTTCTTATAGCAAAAAAATTAAAATTATTTTCAAATTAGAGTATTGATTTTATATTTTATCAAATAATAATTTGCAATAAAATTTTCTCATTTAAAATTTTTAACTTTAATTTAATTTTTTTAATTTAAATTATTTGCCTACGAATTAGGATTCTAGAATATATCAAAATTTGCAAGTTTAATGCTCAACTGTTTGATTATTTCAATCCAGGATTTCTCTAAAAATAAAAAGAAAAACGTTTCACATTATTAAACATTCATCAATCGCGGTATACCGACAAGCTATTTAGATGAACTATTTTCTCTTATTAGAAATTCTGTTTTATTCAGAGTTAGTTGAATTTATTTTAAAAACAAACATTTTTTAATGAAATTTACAATGTAAATATCTCTCTCTTTCTCTCTCTGTCCCTCTTTCTTTTGCAAAAATCTCGACAACTTGATGAGTTTTGCTGTTATATCACTATTGGAAAATTTTTTACATTCTTTAAGTTTTACTATTCACACCTGCATATAAATAACTAACAGTAGAATATTGTTAGGTTTCTCGCTAGAATCAAAGACAATGGGGGTCATAAATATCTTTGCAACATGCAACTCTGATCAAGCTAATGCGAATAATAGATTTAATGCTTTTGCATACGATACACCATGTAAAGGTTTTCGGTTTTAATGATCGGAAAAGCAGGATTACTCTTGGGTATGTCATGTTTCAACCATTATGTATATACATACGTTTACTAATGATCTTTAGTATAGCAGAAACCAATGCGTGTCACTCTATAGTTATAAATATTTAACAATCGATTTATTAAAAATTGAGTTAATTTTAAATTCTTTTTTGTAGTTGCAGAATTCGATCTCTAACGGAATAGTTAGTTTTAGATACGATTTCGATCATATAATGATTTTATGTATTATATTTTTTTAATTGAAAAAATTAAAAATACTTGTTGTCGGCGGTACATTAATGATAATGACAATTCGATTAGATGTTAATCTATTCATTCCGCAAAAGTTTTAGTATGTTTACCTTATTCTCATGACCTAAACCAACTATGCATAAATAATTTTTGAATTTATGATTACCCGGATTGTTTAAACTAGAAACAGAATAAGTTTTCACAAACAAAAACGAAATTCAAATAAAATTGTAAAGATAGGCAAAAATTATATAAATAGAAAAAAAAGATAACAGAATTGTTAATTATCTTGTAAAATAGGTATATCCTAAACATAATTTTCTTATCTTCATGATAATCTCTATATTTCATACTAAAATTGTTATTGGTAATGTAATAGAGGCAAAATCACCCCGTTTGGTTTAGGGACAAATATATCATTTTGAAACATAAAACAGTAGC